AATGATTACCATTGCATGTTGGTCATGTGCAGGTGTTTCACTTTGATATGTGCTGCATTTCAACAATATCTGCCCATCATGCCAAAAAGAAACTGATATAATGCAGTAGCTGCATTAAAAATTTGGAACCTAGCTAAGATCCAACTTTGTTCTGCGACCTTTTCAAAATTTTAGTCTGCGAACTTAGATCCCCAAACCACTTTTCTGACACTGCGCCGCACACGGCCGGAACTGGACAGCGCCGGGCACCGGTCCCCCGCTCAGACACCGAGCCGCAGTCGGGCGGATCCGCGGCCACGGTCGTGTCGAGCCGTGGCCGCGCGGACGAAAGTGAAATGCCTCAGCCGGGCTGAGGCCGCGCTGCCATAGGGAAAATCCGAATTAGTCCATCGGAAATTGACTTTCCATTAAATGCTTCTAAGTATTGCATACCTATTCTCAGCTACTCAGTGTTCCGAAAAGACACTTTGATGTTCATAACCTCTTTTGGGCACGCAGATGACAATTTTGTGTGAAGATGCCGACCGATCATTTTGCCGATTGAATTAAATAGGCAGATTTCAAGATAAGTATGCGAGCAAGCCGAGCACACTAAGAGCAGCTGTCATCTGCCATCTGAACAATGCGTCCAGTTGCCATCTGACAGTCACCTGATCACTGTGTCCAGTTGTCATCTGACTGTCACCTGACCACTGTGTCCAGTTGTCATCTGTCACCTGACCACTGTGTCCAGTTGTCATCTGACTGTCACATGACCACTGTGTCCAATTGCCATCTAACTGTCACATGACCACTGTGTCCAATTGCCATCTAACTGTCACCTGACCACTGTGTCCAGTTGTCATCTGACTGTCAGTCATCTGACTACGTAAGCACAGCCGACTGATTGTAAACATGGTAATCGCACACGCCTCACTTACACAAATAAGAAATTATACAAAGCTTGCAATAAAAGACAGATTGTTCATGTTCAGTCCCCAGGACGGTCCAGCTTGTCTGCCGGCGGCGGCTGCATCCCCAGCCCGTGAGCCCAATGGGCGCAGCCTTCCGTCCATGCCTTCCGTCCGTGCCTGTGCGCCGTGCCACCGCCCCACAATGACAAGTGGAGGACAAATTCATCGGCCGCAGCCGGTGGCGTCAACTGGATGGAACGCGGCGGCGGCGCGGCGGCACAGACGTCAGCGGCCGGCTCTGTCAAGGCCACTGGCTGCGGCCGGGCGGGCCGGCGTCAGCTCCCACACGTCCATGGAGCCGCGCGCAGACGGCCGGCGTCAGCTCCCACATGTCCATGGAGCGGCGTGCTGGCCGTGGCAGCGCAGAGCCGCCTGCTCGTGAGCCGACCACCCGGTGCCCGGACCAGTCTCCTCGGCCTCCAGCCACGCCGTGGGCACTCGTCATGCCACTGCGCGACGCTCTGTGTCGCCATGAAGGCTCTCGCTGTGTTTCAGGTCTGCCAGCTGCGTTCCGGCCTCGGGGTCCGACGCAAGTCGCACATAAGCAACACAAATGGGCCGCTCGGGCTTCATCGTATCATCGGAACTCCATCGTATCAAATCTACAAAATTGTATTATGGCTACAAATTTTTTGAACAAAACCAAGCCGATTGCTTATGCGACGACCGTCACACCGGTGTCTACATATTGTCCACAGACCACTGACCAGACCGACACTATACGACAAGCATGACCGATGTCTATTGTCTACTGCAGACCAGACAGGCACTATACGACAACTGACGGGTACCTCGATCAAAGAGTAGACCGACACCTGATACGACACGCCACAAGAGTCGAATGCTCAGCCTTCACACCGCTGCACTGGAGCGATAACTGAACCCGCGCTTTAATGCTCGGCGCTCGGCATGATGCCGTGTCAAAGCACGCCCATATGGGAATAATAAAGTGCCTGCAGATGATACATAGATTGAACAGGCAAACTTCAGAGATTGAACAGATATTCCAAATGTTTGAAGGCCAAGATCAAACCAATCAAAAGAAATAGTTAGTGCCTATAGTTAGTAGGCACCTCGGAACTATACCGTACACAATAGCAATAGCAACAATAAAGGACATCTGACTTCTGAGTCAGACTCAGATGAAGTGTCATCTGAGTCCGTAGGCTCGTCCGGTGACCGGCTGTGAGCGCCGTGCGGTCGGCTGGACGGCTGGGGACATGCGCCCCCGCCTCGGGTGGCCGGTCTCGTGCGGGTGAGTGGCGACTGGCGCGCACACCGGGGTCTGCGCTACTCGCGGCAATGTCGGCCGCCCACCCGCGGCGGGTCTGCGCCATACTCCGAACCGTCGGCCGCCCACCCGCGGGCCGCGGCGGGTCTGCGCCATACTCGGAATCGTCGGCCGTGGCTGCATGCGCGCGGAATTCTCCCCAATGCCTAATCCGGCGTACCTTTTCACATGTACTGCTTTCGAAATAGTCTCAGCTGGTAAACGCGAGCTACTTATAAAAAAAAAAACATACACAATGCACAACCCTACACAGTAAATCCAGCTGGGGCGGCCATTGTTCCAGATTCCTCGCATACCTTTAAACAGATCCAGAGCGTGTAGGCATCCGCAGTGTACGCCTTGTTTGATCATTCAGCAGAACGACCCAGCTACATAGGGTCGGTAATAGACAGGTGATAGGGCCGGGAACAGACAGGTCACCGGGGGCCCAATCGGCCACCGGTGACGTCACACTCGGGCACTCAGCGGTGACGTCACACCCGGCCAGTCAGCAGTGACGTCACACCCGGCCAGTCAGCGGTGACGTCACACCCGGCCAGTCACCGGGCGTGGGACTGCATGCAAGGGCTGTGGGCCCGCCCGACTCCACAGGGTCCGATCAGCAGACTGGGTACACCCGCACCGGGCCTCCCACGCTGCAGCCTTGGGCCGAGTCGGGCCAGTTCCCGCCGGCCGACCGGCCTTACAGAGGCACAGAGCGACCACCGGCCGGCCTCACAGAGGAACAGAACGACCGCCAGCGGACAGACGCCAGCATTCAGCAACGGGACAACGGCACAAACCGGGCAACGCCAGCAACTGGACCTCTCTGAGAGCCACCGGAGCCGGCCGACTGCCCACAAAAAGCCCTCAGGAGAGCGGCCACCCAGCACCCCCCCCCCCCCTCCCCAGATACCACCCGGCTCGGCGGCCAGGGGAGCCGCCCAATATGCCCCACCAGACGAATCTTGCCTATCAAACACCGTTTGATTACTACAACGCTAGCTATCAACGCTTTTCTTATTGGCCTCACAGAGAAGCGGGCCGGGTATGGACGAGACGCGAAGCGCCAGAGGGTTCCGGTCCCGCTTCTGCCAGCCGCAGCGACGGCTGACCTCCTCCGAGCCCTGCCGTTTGTGTCTCTCCTGTTCGGTACTGGGGTCAGCACACAGCCGGCGGCGTACAGCGGTGTGGGTACTACACATCTCACCTCGCTAGCTTCTTCAGGATGGTATAACCGAACAATGACACCTTCGAGCAGAAACAAACAAGCTTCGACTAATTGAAAAACACATAGCGATAGCGATATAACTTGACCGAATACCACCACGGATGTCACTTGATAAAATATATTGTCTGGTTGGGCTCTAAATTCTAATGGTAAATTGTAGTATAAGTAATAGCATAGGTAATGGTAAATTTTAGAATATTTACATAGTACCCGCCTAAGCTATTCATACTAAGCAACGCCATTACGTCAATGTTTAAAATGCCGAGGAGCTCGGTATTTTTAACGCTATTGGTGGGGCTCGGGACATATCAGGCCATTATAAAACTAATGGTAAATGACGTGACCCAAGACGTGCGCAGCTGAACATTTGCAGCCCCCAATATGTGCATTGTGCATCACTGGAAGACTCCAAGGGCATGTCGACTGTGCGTATCGACTGCACATACCCACAGCGCAAAGAAACGGACCGGCCGGCCAGTCCACACAGGTCAACTAGTTCCTCTACCGAGAGCGTTAACCGGAGATAAGGCCTTTGCCACGGCACAGCATAACTGTAACCGAGTTCTGAGACTGGCAGTAGCACATTCCGCAGCACACTGCACAGCGAATAGTGGCGACATCTAGCGCACAGAGGCACAATTTGCAGTTCGCGGAACAGGTGGAGGCGGGCCTGAGGTCATGCTCGCCTCGCTCTTTCTCGACCCCGTCCACCGCATCAGGCGGATACCGGCGCCGCTGGGCTCACCAACCGGGTGCTCATTGGCTCGTCGGTCTCAGTGACTTATTTGTTAACCAAACTTATTTGTTAAATATGAAGGCTTATTTGTTAACAAAAGCAGACACACCACAGGACACTGAAGTAGTCTTCCTAGGCTTAACTGTTGGCCTTTTCAGTCAACAACTACTTTTTGAATCACAGCTACAAGAAAGGTAAAAAAGATACAAAACTCTTACAAAAAACAAACATACAGGTATGCTGCAATTCTGCATGATATGGACTCCTTATGTATGGCCATAGACTACTGAATGGACATGCAAATCATTGCCCCCAGACATCCATCTGACAATCCAACCATACTGATATTACTGATACTGTTACATGATATGAATTCTGGTCAGAGACATTTAGAAACACAATTATGAAAATTTGGCTTAAATAGTTAGGAGATATTAATTATGTTGGTAACAAACCTTATCCACAATAAACAGCCTTATAAACTAGCTAGTTATCTCATTGAATTGCATCTTTGCATTTAAACTTGACTTTGTTGCAATGATAGATGGTGATCCAATTCCAAAAACCAAAAAAAGCCAGTCCTGTAGCTCAGTCAGTACAGCATTAGATAGAAATACAAAAAGACAGACTTATGCAATGGGAAGTTTGCAGACTGTCATCTAATTGATGTTTTTACTTTGATAACCAGGTGAGAAAAACAATGATGCAAAACAATTACTGAAAGCACTAGGGTATGTCTTACACAGCAGTAACAGCAACATGTCATCATGCAAACATACATTATGTAAATCTTAAGAGCTTTGAACCTACCTTGATCTCCAACATGTAAATGAGACTTCCAGAGTTCTTCTTAAAATGTTAAGTCTGAGCCCTGAGGCCTGTCTAGGCTGTCGCTGTGTGCAGTGTGCACACTCAAAATCTTCTGCTTCTGGTGTCACTTGTTAGTGAATGCTTAGTGAGAGCTGTGGGTGGAGGGAAAGTCTAAAGATAGCTATACCAATGAAATAGGTATTTGGTGATTTTCTCCTTTTTACCACATGTTACATTATACATACATTGGGTAAGGTTAGGTCTGGTCAGATTATGCTTTGCTGCTTCTGCATGTAGTATACCTACCTGATTTTTTAAGCATTAATGATCATATGAACAGTTTTTGGTAGTAGTAAGGCAGGCTTATTTATCACTTGTTCTTTTTTTGCAACCAAGTAGAGGCACTGTAGGTTAGGTTGTAGGTTTAAGGTTGTAGATTGTAGGTAAGGTTAGGTCAGGTTTGGTTACATTTGATTTGGTTAAATTAGAAAGCATCTCCTTGGTTGCAAAAAACGTGTGATGCGTGCTTTACGTTACGACTACCCAGTTTTCCAGATTGATATATGCTTTGTGACAATATGGTGTCTTTTTTATATTTGCATGTTCAATCAAAATGAGCTCATGGGATGCACGGTCATTCCAGTTGGTGAGTTTGATGTTTTGATCCAGTCACGGATTGTTATGGCCGGAGACAGATTCAGATTGAGATGGGTAGGTACCTAATACCAATACCGAAGCGGGCCAAAGCCAATTGACACTTGAATCAACGCCGACGCAAACAGGCACTAACACAGCAGGCAAATATAGGTATAGCACCACCCAAGGCGCACCACGTCCATGCGACACCCACTCACACCAAAACATATTTCAATCCGTTTCAATCCAATCATTCAATCAATTCAACTCTGTGAAACCTTCACCAACGGGACAACGCATCGCATACAATACTGGCGCAAAAGAGCCGTAGAGACAAGTTACGTCATTTGTTGAAAATATCCTCACATTTTTATCATTTTGGAGGATTTTGAATACTTAGGCTGATTTTTTTCTTCAAACTATCATACACTTGGTCTGGAAAAGGAATATCGTTTGTTTTCTTATTCAAACTAATAAAATATCGCCCATTAACTGCTTATATTACGTAATACTTACCGTGCTTTATGGTTTAGCCGGGGGCTCGGGGAGACCATTGATGATCGATCCAAGGAAAAACGGTACGTTTCATGAGTACGTTATACCTGACACCACGTGATCAACAAACTTAAAACTTGATCAGGCTAAAAAACTTTCATAGTTTATAAAAAGTCATATTTTTCTTTCAAATAATATGAACAAAACAAAAAAAAACAATCGTTACTAACGTAGCAGTGCTAATTTATTGCAATTTTTATGTCGAATATCATTCAATAAATTTCATAGCTGAATCATGATCACCCTGGGGCGGCTTCTCTATATCATGAACTAAAGGAAACCACCGAAAAAGTGGGTGGTGGTGGGGGATCTGGACTTGGAGGATCTGGGCAGTGGGAGAGGCTGCTGGGGAGCCGGGAAATTGTATTCGATTCGGAATAAGCCAAGAAGAAGCCATATTGATTATAACACAGTGTATATAAATAGATTATAATTTTAGTTTAGGAAGGCTGGTGTTAACACCAAAACTGTCTGTTTTCCCCAGTCTTTTGCCGATATCATTAACAATTCAAATTAAGAAGTGGTAGGTACAAGCAAGCGGTAGAGGTCAAGGTAAGTCGGTTGCGGAAACTACGAGGCGAAGATCCAAAAATTGATCAGCCAATCAACGGCTGGAGTGGGCAGGGCGATGACCATATATGATCATAAAATCAGAAAACTTCATCTTTTCCATGCATCCTAGCATTCAAATGGAAAAATAAGACATTAGAATGTTTTTTAACCACACAAGGCCGGTATCGTTAACCCTGGCAATGGCATCACCGGTAGCGTATTTGTTCAAGGTTAAGGTTTCCTGTATTAGGCCGCCGTGCCAGGCCGAAGCATGCTGTGACATCACGTCACATCACTGGGTAATAGAAGATAACATATAGAATGGCTCAGGCAGAGTCAAACTGACTCAGGCAGACTCAAACTGACTCGACCGACTCAAACCGATTCAGATCGACTCAGACCGACTCAGAACGACTCAGAACGACTCAAACTGACTCAGACAGACTCACCGACTCAATTCTGATCAACTCGGACAGACTCAGAACAACTCAGGCAGACTCAGACCGATTCAGATCAACTCAGACCGACTTAGATAGACTCAGAACGACTCAAACTGACCCAGAATGACTCAATTGACTCAAATCGTTCCAATCGACTCAGACAGGCTCAGGCAGACTCAATCCGACTCAGGCAGACTCAAACCGACTCAGGCAGACTCAAACTGACTCAGGCAGACTCAGACTGACTCAAATAGACTCAGAACAACTTAAACTGACTCAGACCAATTCAACCGACTCAAATCGATTCCGATAGACTCAGACAGACTCAGAACGGCTCAGACAGACTCAGACAGACTCAGACAGACTCAAACCAGCTCAGGCAGACTCAGACAGATTCTGATTGACTCAGATAGACTCAGAACGACTCAAACTGACTCAGAAGCCGACTCAACCGACTCAAATCGAATCCAATCGACTCAGACAGACAAACTCAGCACGATTCAGACAGCCCCAGACAGACTCAAACCGACTCAGGCACACTCAAACTGACTCGACCGACTCGAACCGATTCTGAGGCCTCTTGCACCAAAATCCTCTTGCACCAATGCTTGGATTATTTTGCATCGCGTATCCAATCCAAGACTCAAATGTGACAATTTACATGTAAAAATTACCAAGCACTTGTAGGATTATGTATTGGGCTGTTGCAAACAAATTTACCACCGTTAGATTACCTTATTCTGAAACCGGTTTTTCGATTTTACCTAGCTAGGTAGTTTGGTGCAAGAGGCCTCAGGTCTGATGTTTCAGGTCAAACTGATGGGTCTGTCTGAGTCGGTCTCAATCAGTTTGAGTCGGTTGAGTCGGTTTGAGTCTGCCTGAGTCTGTCTGAGTCGATCGGAATCGATTTGAGTCGGTTAAATCGATCTGAGTCAGTTTGAGTTGTTCTGAGTCTAGTTGAATTGGTTTGAGTCGGTCGAGTCAGTTTGAGTCTGCCTGAGTCGGGTGAGTCTGTCTGAGTCGATCGGAATCGATTTGAGTCGGTTGAGTCGGTCTGAGTCAGTCTCAGTCGATCTGAATCGGTCTGAGTCTGCCTGAGTCGGTTTGAGTCTGCCTGAGTCTCTCTGATTCGTTCTGAGTCTGTCTGAGACGATCGGAATCGATTTGAGTCGGTTGAGTCGGTCTGAGTTATATTGAGTCGGTCTGAGTCGATCTGAATCGGTTTGAGTCTGTCGGGTGAGCTTGAGTCTGCCTGAGTCGTTCTGAGTCTGTCCGAGTCGATCAGAATAGAGTCGGTGAGTCGGTCTGAGTCAGTTTGAGTCGTTCTGAGTCGGTCTGAGTCGATCTGAATCGGTTTTAGTCGGTCGAGTCAGTTTGAGTGCCTGTCGGTCTTAGTCTGTGTCTCAGTCGATACTGATAACGTGGTACGTTATCTTCTCTTCCAGTGAGTCACAGCATGCTTCGGCCTGGCACGGCGGCCTAATACAGGAAACCTTAACCTTGAACGAAAACATTACCGGTGACGCCATGGTTACCGATATCGCGATTCGCGAGGGCTGCATTTATGCCCATATATGGTCATCAAAAGTACATTTATTGACTGATCCATTTTTGGATCTTTGCCTCGTAGTTTCCCCAACTGAAGTTGACCGACTGAGAAGACCCAGCAACTTTGTCTGAAGTTAATGTTGGTAATAATAATACACTTTTTTTGCATTTCAAATCAACCATTCACCATAACTGTTTGAGGTGCCATTTCGACAATCGGCATTGAGCACAACTATTCCAGCGTGGTGGGTTTCATTTCAGCCATTCAGCAAAACAGAGGGGTGTTCACGGGCACCGCACACTGCTGCGTGCGGTGTGTGCGGTGCGTCCAGCAGCCGTGCGGGTAGGGGATGGGTAGGCGGTCCTGACGTCACGGCTGCGTGCGGTGGACGGTCCGCTGTGGCCAGTCCCGACCGGCCACAGCGGTCGCTGTGTGCGGTGACGGAAGGCTGACGTAGGGACGCAGTGGGCGGAGCTTGGAGGCTGTGTGCGGTCCGACCGCACACAGGGCCCGTGAACAGCCCTCCGATTGAACGCTGAAATGAGCGATCTGCAAAACAGTTTACCAGACTTCGGTATAGAGGGAGCCAGCTCGCATATGACGAATACTTTCGACCATTGACGAATTGTTTTGCCCAATGTTGAACCATTCGTTCAATGTCGAGTTGTAGAGGAAGATCGCCGAATAGTTTTGCCCAATGGTGATTTTTTGTGACCAACCGCCCATTTGTAGCGCTACCTATATGGCGAATGTGTAAAAATGTTTTGCCCAATGGTCAAAAGCTAACGCAAAAAGGTGTAGTTGAAGTGCTTTTGCTGGGCATGCTCATAAGGGCTGGACCGAAAAATACGCGCTATGCTGAACCATGCTACAAAGGCCTGCCATCAGCCATGTGCATTTCGCTTACGAATGTTGCAGAATGCAACAACCTCAGATTCTTTCGATGCAACTTTTTGGCTGCGTCTAAACATACGTGATAAGTCGTTCGCATTTGACTACTTGAAGCGATGGGGCGGCGATATAGCCTGTGCCATCGGCTGTGCACTTCTAGACTTGAATCCCTCCCATTGACTGTGCTCATCTCTCTCACTCTACTGCCTCGCTGAGCGGTGCGTTTCGTGTTGTAACAGTGCAAACTTGGCAGGTGTAATGATAGGACGATCAGCGCCGGCATAGTCCGTTCTGATCCCATCGCACACTCAATTTAACGCGAGAGCACACTGAATTGCATGTCGAAGCTCCAACAATATTTTCTTCACTTTTCCTCATCTATCTCATCAGGTCTGTCATGTCCGTCGCTAAGCCGATTCCGCACCGCACTACACATCCGCACCGCACCAAGCCAAAATCCGCACCGCATCGCACCAAATCCGCACCAGCCAAACAAGCCCGCACCGACGAGGTCTCGTCAAAATTGCCATACTTTGCACTTTGCAGACTGGATGCTGAATATGTCTGACGTAGTCATTAGCGTCGCCCCGGGGGGCAAGCGGGGCAGCTTGCCCCCCAACCTCGGACCGGGCACCCCCTGAGATCGATACAGATCCGATGAGATTTTGGAGTCGGGAAAAAATGGGGGTACCTTTTTGGGAATGCCTGTGAGGTCAGACTCGGTTGGCGCGTGCAGTTCAAACCATAGTCGGAGTCACAGCACAGTCGCCAAAATCTTCAAGACTCCGACTTCAGACTCGGAAATAACAATGCTGTGATTCATTCCCTGTTCCTAGTTGGTGCTTTATCACATTTTATAGCTTATTTTCATAAGCTTTGGAGTGTTGACACATAGTTTTCGTTCAAAGCGTGACAAAAAAATATTCGGGGCCTTTCTCAACTCTCGTCAAATGTCTGCGACAGGCTCATGTACCATTCAATGATTAGTGTTTACATTTTTATGCTATGAGCTTGATTCCCCATGCTATGTCAGTGTGAAGTAGTTGCGTCACATGTGAATTAGTCAGTCCCAGCTGTACCTATGACTGTGCGTCCGCCGACAGATCATGGACCCGTGGGTGGTGACACCTGCAGAGCGTGCCAAACACGACCAGCAGTTCGCCAACCTGGGCCCGTCGCCTGCTGGACTGGTCACCGGTGACCAGGCCAAGGGGTTCCTGCTGCAGAGTCACCTCCCGCCAGCTGTCCTCGGCAAAATATGGTCAGTGTCACCAGAGTCACCCACTGCGGTGCCGGCTGTCCTCGGCAAAATATGATCTATGATATGATCTGATCATCATCTCTATGATATGATCATCTCTCTAAATATGGTCAATGGTCATGGCGACTGACGGACCCTCCCCCGCCACCACAGGGGACTCGCCGACCACAACGCCGACGGAAAGATGAACAGGGACGAGTTCAGCGTGGCCTGCAAACTCATCACCAACAAGCTGAAGGGGTTCGAGGTGCCGGCCACGCTGCCGCCGGCGCTGCGCGCGCTGCTCTCGCCGGCCTCCGGGACGCCGCCCCCGGCAGGTGAGTGTGCCGCCGTACGCCGCCCCCGGCAGGTGAGCGTACTGTCCGACGCCGCCCCCGGCAGGTGAGTGTGCCTCCGGACGCCGCCCCCGGCAGGTGAGCATGCCGCCGGAACACCGCCCCCGGCGAGCGACTGGCCCGAGTGAGCGCTACCGGTCGGGAGGCTTTTCGCCTTGAAATTGATGATGACGCTGATGTTACTAACATTGTTACCAATACTTGTTAGCTGCTATTTGGATGCTCTTAACTACGACATGGGCGCGGGTGTTTGAAGCTGCTGTCTGTACGGTGGTGTGTCTGTGACGCCTCTGTCTTTACGGTGGTGTATCTGTGATGCTGCTGTCTTTACGTTGGTGTGTCTGTGATGCTGCTGTCTTTACGGTGGTGTGTCTGTGACGCCGCTGTCTTTACGTTGGTGTGTCTGTGACGCCGCTGTCTTTACGTTGGTGTGTCTGTGACGCCGCTGTCTTTACGTTGGTGTGTCTGTGATGCTGCTGTCTTTTCGGCGGTGTGTCTGTGATGCTGCTGTCTGTGACGCCGCTGTCTTTACGGTGGTGTGTCTGTGCGCCGTCGTCTGTGACGCCGCTGTTTGTCCGGTGGTGTGTCTGTGACCCCAGCTCACGCTACTGTCTGCTCGTCCGACAGGGATTGTGTCGCCGCCTCAGATGACTCCGGCCGGCCTGGGCCAGCCGCTGATCCCCGGCGTCGGTATGTCCCAGCCGCTGGTGCCCTCTGCCGGTCTGGGACAGCCGCTGGTGCCCGCCGGCGGTCTCGGCCAGCCGCTGGTGCCGTCTGCTGGGCTAGGACAGCCCCTGGCGCCCGCCGGCGGGCTGGGACAGCCGCTGGTCCCGGCTGGCGGTCTCGGCCAGCCGCTGGTCCCGGCTGGCGGGCTGGGTCAGCCGCTGGTCCCGGCTGGCGGGCTGGGCCAGCCGCTGGTACCGGCCGGCGGCGGGCTGCCCGGGCAGATGGGCGTTACGGCCCCGCTGGTAGCCACCGGCCCCGTGGCCGTTCAGTCGGCCGCGCCCGTCGCCGCCGCCGCGCCGCTGGCTGCCAGATCGAGGTCTGACTCTGTTGCCAGCCAAGATTCGTGAGTTGGTGTGCCGCTTGGCGCATGGCCGCACGCGCGTCCCGCTGGCCGCGATCGGCCGGCGCCGGACGCCCTCGGCGGACACGGCACACGGCGCTTACCGCAATTTTACTATAAGTCTGCTGTGAACGGGACCTTATTTTTGTCTATTGCTCTGGCCATACACCCCTCTTAACGCTTTGCGAGTTTGGTTTATTATCATTTGATCGGGGCTTATTCGTGAAGTTACTAGCATATACTCATTTTTGGATTTTTTTCTTCCGAGTTTTACATGCATAGCTTGGACGCCCACCGGGAACCCGGCCGCTCTCTGAGTGGTGGTTGCGGCCGAAATTCGCCGCCTGCTCGGCCGGTGCGCGGGTTTGGCTCTCTCTCTCTCTCTCTCTCTGTTTCTGCGCAGCGTGTGCACGGCCCGCGCCGTTTGGTCGACCTCCTCCTCTCCGTACCACCGGCTCTGTCGCAGCTCGGGCCAGGCTTTGGAGCGCTCGGAGCTGCCGCTCACTGTCGCCATGAAACAGACTGCGTGGAGGCGTTTTGAGACTTCGTTGAGCGGGTACCGCTACCTGCATGAACCTATAACTGCATGAACATTCCAATTGTAACGCTAAAAGCAAAGTGACCAAATTTCGGTCACGTATGGACCAGTTTGCTGTGCATCCACTATGCCAAATTTCAAAACTGCTCTGCCATTTCCGTGCGGGTATTGTATGTTTGAACAGAGTGATGCGTTTTAGCTTTTTTGCGATCATGAACCATGAAAAATAAAGTTTGGATTTTGCACACTATGTTAACCCTCGCCGGCCGAGGGGGGGGGGGCGGGTGCCGCCCCCCCCCATAGGGTTTTTTCGCGATAGCTCCGAACACGCTGGCGATAGAGAGCTGAAACTTGGCATACCTGACCTTTGATCCAAGCCGCATTTTTTGACACCAACCGCATTTTTGGGTCAGGTCAGGTCACTGACCTATGACGTCATAAGTGAACCTCTGCACGGTCTTCAGATGTCGCAACTTCGCAACGCCCTCACTGCCAGAGGAGATGTCACAGGGAAATGAAACTTGCAGGATCTAGTATCCATTATGAGTCCCACAACTTGTATATCTCGGATTTTTCCTAAAGGTCATATGAGGTCAGGTCATTTTCGTGACCTCACCATTATAAGTCAATGGGGAAAAATTCAAACTGCTATTCTGGCGCCGGGAACGATCTCCAACTATCTCAAGCACACAGAATCGTGATTTGATGCACTCCTTGCAAGGTTAGATGCGTCACTTTTACAATGTTGACCTTGCGTGACGTCATTTATGACGTCATCAAGGTCATATTAGTTTTTCGTCAATAACTCTTGATCAAATTGAGCTAGCGAGTCGGGAAAGCCACCAATGGACTCAGGAAGACCTGCCGAATCGAATGATATGCGACATGACCTCTTTCGACCAACTTCGTGACCTGGGGGTGCTGACCTGACCTTGACCTGAGGTCAACACCCCAAGTTGACCTGACCCGGACAAAAAGTATATCATTCGACGCGCCTGAGCGAGACGAACACGATGCTGCCAAAATCGGCGCTCTGCGGCCGTTTTTTGCGAAGTTATTCACCAAAAACTGAACCGTACCTTGGGGCACTTGACCTGACCTCAGAGGTCACCGGTTGACCTAGGACCTTAAAATCGGGTACCAATCTCTGCGTCTCGTAACGGCGCACACGCTCGTTTTTTCCGCGACGCGCTAGCTCCACCAGGGGCGAAACGGCGAGGGGGGGGGGTCGTACCCGCCCCCCCCCCCCCTCGGCCGGCGCGTATGTAGAAAACCAATAGGTCCGGCGAGGGTTAAATAATGCCTCTAGCAAATCAAAATTGTTCAGACATTTCTTTAAGATGGTGCTAACGCATGCCGTTCGTTTCACCAATTCTATTTGGAACAGAAGGGAAGAGTGACACGGCGCGTGGTTTGTTTTCGAGCGCCCAACTAAGTAGATCCAGCATTCTATCGACCTGATTACAAAACCAGAGGAGGCAGGTACGTGTGCCAAAATACCAGAGAATGGCTGCTCAAAGCAGTGTTATTGGTAGACGGGAAGCCAGTGGAAGGGTTAGCCTGTTCCCAGGAAGTCAAGCCCGGGAGCAGTTGATACAGCCGAAAATGACTAAAACACTGAGAACCATGCGTGACATCGGAGCCGCTGGGAGGAGCTATCGATGTGAATTGTGAGGTCTCAGTCCGTGGACTATCAAAACAAGTACCGCTGCAGCGCAGCCGAGGCTGCAGGTCGTGGTGTGGTGCCGGACTGAGGGTGACCTGTTCACTCACTCTTTGTACACAACTGAGCAAAAGAAAAAATTCAGCGACATGTGAAATGCGCCACTGGTAACAATTTAATAACCGAATGGCCCAAAAATCACACGTTTCATGTGAAATATGTTGCAAATGGTATAATATGTTATGTGATGCTAAGTTTCATTTTATCTATATAAATTTTGTAGAAATTTTTATTCAAAATTGGGAACATCTTTTTCTGGACCACCCGGTATAAAAGTACATAATATGACGTGTTACAGTTTTGTTGCCAACGCTGATACCCGAGTGACATATGCTCTTCAGTGACCTGTGATATTGGCTTACCTGTAATCGTGGGCGACCTCTCATGAGCCATAGTAGCCTGTGATCCTGAGCGATGGGCGCGGGTCGGCGCGCCCAGTAGTCGGCGCGCCGACCCGCTGTGACTGTGGGTGACCGGCTGTGATTGTGTATGACCGGCTGTGACTGTGAGCGGCTGTTGACTGTAGGTGACCGGCTGTGACTGTGGGTGACCGGCTGTGACTGTGGGTGACCGGCTGTGACTGTGTATGACCGGCTGTGACAGTATATGACCGGCTGTGACTGTGGGTGCCCCGCTGTGACTGTGAGCTGCTGGTGACTGTGGGTGCCCCGCTGTGACTGTGACCGGCTGTGAATGTGAGCGGCTGGTGACTGTGTGTGACCGGCTGTGACTGTGAGCGGCTGTTGACTGTGTGTGACCGGCTGTGACTGTGAGCGGCTGTTGACTGTGTGTGACCGGCTGTGGCGCCCCGGCAGGACGCAGAGCGGCGCGGCCGCCGGCGACTGGGCGGTACCGCAGGCCTCGCGGCTTAAGTACACGCAGACCTTTAACCAGCACGACCGGACCAAGTCCGGCTACCTGTCGGGGCCGCAGGCGCGCAACATCCTGGTCCAGAGCGGCCTGCCCAACAACGTACTGGCCCAGATCTGGTGAGCACGCGCCGCGCCGCGCCGCGCCGGCACCGGGCGGGGCGGGGCGGGACGGCAGCTCTGTCGGAGCGGTGGGCAGTCGGCTTGTTAACTGGGCGGCTAGAGTTCAGGGCTGTTTTGATCATCGAACAATCCTATGATACGGTGTTGCCTCACCTTTTGGCTGTAATGAACCCGGGTAACGGCGGCGTATGCTAATTTCTGCGACGTGCCTCTGTTCTGTGAGGAGTATTGTCACAGTCGGTGTTGGTTGTAACATGTCATCCACGCGGGAACACTAGGGATGCTACTTACACAATACTGGTAACGCTCGTGTACATTGGCGCGTGAAAGGCGTGGCCGCTGAATGCCTACGTCCCTGTCCACGACCCGTGTTTGATCTGACCAGGTGACGTTTATCGTCACCCTCTCACTGTTCAACGCTGGACAGGACATTCCTTTCAGCATCGATAACATGAATCATGTCAATCGTGATTCATCATAATTCATTCATCTTATCCATTCTACCAGCTATCTGTCTAACACTGAGCTAGCCACCTCACTTACCACCTCACTTAGGGCGCTCGCTGATGGCGTCACGCCTCCTTACCGTGGACCGGTGTCGGCAGGTCGCCGTGTGACTGTGACCGGTGTCTGTGTGGCGGGGACCGGTGTCTCTGTGTGACGGGGACCGGTGTCTCTGTGTGACGGGGACCGGTGTCGGCAGGTCTCTGTGCGATGTGGACCAGGACGGCCGGCTGTCGTGCGACGAGTTTGTGCTGGCGCTGCACCTCTGCGAGCGCACGCGGCTCGGCGACAAGCTGTCCAACACGCTGCCGCCGGAGCTGGTGCCGCCCAGTTTCCGTCGGGTGGCGCGTAGCCGCACCATCAGCACGGGCTCACAGCCGGGCGACGCCGAGCCGGTGCTGTCCCCGTCACAGCAGGGTGAGCCGCCGGACCCCCCGCCCCCTCCCGGCCCGCCGTCGGACCCCCCCCCCCCCCCCTCCCGGCACACCGCCGGACCCCCCCCCCCCCGGCCCGTACCACCGGCGGAACCCCTCCGACTCGCCTCCATATCCGACCTGTTCTGCGCCCCTCCTGATGAGCGAGCTGTGACGGGTGGGTAGCCTCTTGTGCTCACTGCTCAAATACATACCTCTGACTTTTACCACGGTTGTCAAATGTGTTTGTGAAGTAGTTTCCTTGAAATCAATTGGACGGTCTTCTTTTGCCCTTTTCATTCTTTGGCCCATCTTTTTAGAAAAGTGAACGCGAAGGAAAACGCCTTGACGCATTAATTTTGTTTGAATACATATAATACGATACTACATGTGGTTTTATGTTATTATAACTGCGGGTCAACCTCGGCTGAGCATATAATATCACTCCTTGTCTAAACTGTATCCGGCATCACTTTTCTCCGACACTTGTGCTCTAACGGACCTCTCGGTTCCCCGGGCAACCTTTGTGTTGCGCCTCCCGTCTCCTCTCAGTCACCCCTCCCGTCCCCTCTCAGTCACACCTTCCGTCCCCTCTCAGTCACACCTCCCGTCTCCCCTCTCAGGCACACCTCCCGTCCCCTCTCAGTCACCCCCCCCCCCCTGTCCTGTCAGTCACATCTCCCGTCCCCCGTCAGTCACCCCCCCTGTCCTGTCAGTCACACCCCCCCTGTCCTGTCAGTCACACCTCCCGTCCCCTGTCCTGTCAGTCACCCCCCCCCCCTGTCCTGTCAGTCACACCTCCCGTCCCCTCTCAGTCACACCCTCCCCTCCCGAGTCAGTCACATCTCCCGTCTCCTGTTAGTCACTCCCCGCTGCCCTGTCAGTCCCCATTCCCCCCCCCCTTTCCCGTCAGTCACCCCCCCCCCCCCGTCCTGTCAGTCACACCTTCCCTGTCTGCCGCCAGCCTCGTTCGAGGACCGCCGCCGGGAGAACTACAACAAGGGCCAGGCAGAGCTGGAGCGCCGCAGAAAGGTGCTCGAGGACCAGCAGCGGCGCGAGCAGGAGGAGCGCGCCCGCAAGGAGCGCGAGGAGCAGGAGCGGCTGGAGCGCGCCCGCCTGGAGCAGGAGCAGCGCCGCCGCGAGGAGCTGGAGCGCCAGCTGGAGCGGCAGCGCGAGCTGGAGCAGCAGCAGCAGGAGGCGCGTCGCCGAGAGCTGGAGACCAGGGAAGCGGCGCGCAGGTCCGTCACCGACCCGCCGGCCGGCAGTGCTGTCTGGGATCCGACCGGTCTAACAGTTGATGATTGTCTTTCCGACGTCATGGTGTTGCATCAATAGTTAGGTTTAAATGCTCGGATTAACGGAATAGTAACGAGCTGAAGTTTCGTTAATCCTGAGCGTTAATTCGGAGGAGGTGTAATGCCTACCTTCTTTGCCCTCATTGTGTTATTGTCTATTTTGGTCCAAGCCAGCGCCGATCAGGGGCCTAAGTAGGATCAGCTAGTAGGATCTCGACTGTGACCCTCTCCGATGGCCACCCCGCCAACTGGGTGTGTGTTGCTGCTGGATCCGGGGCCCCTGATACTACTGACCGGTCCCTGAGACCCCTGGCGGGCCCCTGAGACCCCCGTCGGTCCCTGAGACCCCTGGTGGACCCCTGAGACCACTGACTGGCCCCTGAGACCACTGACTGGCCCCTGAGACCACTGACTGGTCCCTGAAACCCTTGTTGGACCCCTGAGACCACTGACTGACCATTGCGACTACTGACGGGCCCCTGAGACCATTGACGGGGCTCTGATTCCACTTGTGGACCCCTGAGACCACTGACGGACCCCTGATTCCACTGGTGGACCACTGAGACCCCCGGCGGGCCCCTGGGACCACTAACTGGCCCCTGATTCCACTAGTGGACCACTGAGACCACTGGCACTGAGACACTGAGACTTGATTCCCCTGGTGCGCCGCTGAGACCGCCGGCTCTCGGCAGGGAGCTGGAGCGTAAGCGTCAGGAGGAGTGGGAGAACCAGAAGCGCCAGGAGCTGGAGTCGCAGCGGCAGCGGCAGCAGGAGACGGTGCTGCGGCTAAAGGCGCAGAACACGCAGCTCATGGTGCAGCTCAGCTCGGCGGTGAGCCAAGGACCGGCGGGGGGGGGGGGGGGGGGGGCGGCGACTGTGTGCTCCAGCGCTGGCACACGGCAGCTGAAGGGTCATGCGGCGCTGATATTGCTAAATAGAGATATACCGCCGTAGGCTTCGTTAAAATTCTGATGCAGGAAAGTCTTGTTGGTTGAAGACCTGATTATTGTTCTTTTTATATCATCTTATTTTCTGAAAGTAATATTCAGATGGTCATGTCGATCACTGGTGTCGGCGCAGCCGCGCCTATTTACAGTGGGGCGGACCGTTGTGCTGGGCTGGCCCGGAGCTCAGTCCGCCGGAGCGTAGTCGGTGACTTGACTCGCGCGACGCTGTGTGGCCTGTGTAACCCTGTGTAACCCGTGTAACCCTGTGTGACCCTGTGTGACCCTGTATAACTCTGACCCGTGTGGCCCCGCGTGCCGTCAGTCGGACCGCGTCAAGGAGCTGACTCAGAACATCAGCGACACGCGGGCCGGCGTCACCGACGTCAAGTCGACCATCGACGGCATGCGGGCCACCCGCGACACCCACATGGCGCAGCTGACCGCGCTGAAGGCGCAGCTGCGCGAGCAAAACAACCGGCTGCTGCAGGTCAACCAGGTGAGCGGCTGGCGACACATGGGGAGTGGCCCGGGCGCACGGGGCGGGACTGCGGGTCAGAACAGTGTGGCCGAGCCGCGGCGCACAGGGAGCGGCTGCGGGTCAGAACAGTACTGCCGGGCCGCGGCGCACGAGGAACAGCTGCTGTAGGTCAGACCAGTCATACGGCGGGACAGGGGCCTCAGAAGTCGACCTACGAGGATGACCGTCGGCCGTGGCGTGGCTGGTGATGTCTGGATAGTTCGTGTTGCCATCACTTATTTACGCCTAGTTATAGTAACTTGTGGGGTGGTCCGTGCTGTTGACAAACAAGCGATTTTGCCTATCCGATGTTCGTTTGCTTACTAGCGAACCGAGCAGGCCCCCACAGCGCCCGTGCTGTACCCCTGGCAACACTTGCTGACCTGATCTGAGCTGACCTGATCCGACCTTGGCTGCTCTGAGACTGAGTTGACCTGATCTGCTCTGACCTGCTTCCTCAGGAGCGGGCCAAGCTGGAGGCGCGTAATAAGCTGAACGACGCCAATAACCCGGTGCAGGCGGGCCTTGAGAGCGTGGCCATGAACTACGACAGCAAGCGACACATCATCGAGCAGCTGCGCCGGCGCCTGGAGGCGGCGCAGGACCAGGTCGGTAGCGCTGGGGGAGGGGGGGGGGGGCTCTGCGGCTGTGGGTTGTCAATCAGTCTGATCCGCCGCGCTGTCCGGCTGCTGCCGCTGGTGCCGCCGCGCGGCTGACCCGCCCACCCCGACCGTGCGGCGCCGGCAGTGCTCGGAGAAGGAGTCGGAGCTGGAGGGCCGCCTGCACGACCTGAAGGAGGCCAAGGACGTGCTGAACTCGCTGGTGGCCAGCTGCCAGGAGGTGAACACCCAGCTGGAGCTGAAGCGGCAGGCGGTGCTGCAGCGCCGCCAGGGCCAGCGCACGCCGGACGCCGCCCCCGCCCCCGCCACCACCGGTGAGTCCCGCGCCCGGTCCGGCCCGACTGCTCTGTGCCTGCAGCCTGTCCTCGCACCGCCGTGGCACCCAGACTGGGGGACTGGTCGGCCGCGGCGCGGCAGCACCGGCCCGCTGCCCGCCCGTCCCACCCTGTAGAGCCGACGCCCGGCGGCGCTCCGTCTGAACGCTCCCTCCCGCGGCGGGCGGTCCGCGGTCCCTCGAGTCCCGAGTGCGCCGAGTAGCTGCCTGTCGTGTTGTCCGCGGTCCCCGTGTCCTGACTGCGCCGATTGGCTAGCTGTTCCCCAGTCCCGACTGCACTGAGTAGATGCCTGTCTGCGGTCCCCGAGTCCCTGCTGCACCGAGTAGGTGGCCGTCCGGCGGCGGCCTGCACCCGTCTGCCGCCTGTAGTGTGTCTGTGTGTCTGTGTGTGAGGTCGGCCGGCCGCCGCTCACCGGCGCGCCGTCCCCAGGCGCCTCCTGGGCCACCTCTCCTCCGGCGCAGCAGCAACAGCAGCAGCAGCAGGGCTGGGCGGCCGACTTTGGCGCGCCGGCCTGGAGTTCCAGCGCGCAGCCGGCCGCCTCCTCCGGCGCCGACTTCGGCTCCTCGGCGTGGGCGCCGGCCGCCACCGACTGGAGCGCGCCCTGGGACTCGAACAAGAGCGCCGGCGGCGGCGGCGGCGGCGGCGGTGGCGGCGCCGCGGACCCGTGGGGAGAGGCGGCCACCGGCACTCCGGCGGCCAGCGGCGGTAAGACGGCGGCCCGGCCCGGCCCGCTGGGGGCGCCCGCTCCGACCCCCCGCATGTGCCCGCTGTGTGCTGTAGTCAGCTCGGAATGGTGTGGTTAGTTGGCGGCGCTGGCCGCTGCACCCCGCAGGCCGGCGCAGAGTGATCACTCGGCGCGCAGAGCTTCGAGTGGCGCCGAGTGACCAGTCGGAACACTGCGCCGACCGGTCACCAGGACCAGTCGGCGCAGAGGTCCCGGTGACCGTTCAGTGACCGTTCGGTAACCGTTCGGTCAGTCGGGGCCGGCATTCAACTGGAGCTCACTCTGATTGCTTACGAATGGTGACCAGTGGCGAACTAATGGGAATAACTAACATGTTGTTAGCCGACTAATCGAGTGATTGGCTGTTCAAAAGCTGCAGGTATAGTTACGGGAAACCCGGTCCACTAACACTGATAGATGCTGTTTTGAAGCTACATTATTTATGCATAACAACTTCTGCATCTTCGAATTACTTAACATTGGCGCAACAGCTAACTCATAGTAACATGGGTTGTTTTTGTGCGTGTTGTTATTTTTTCACTTATCTCTAACCGGCTTTAAGCAGGGCGACTTTGTGCTGATTATAATCGATGATGAACTTAAGGATCCAAAATGTCTGTTAACATTCACCTGTTTACAAGACGTGTTCTTGTCGTACGTATACCTTTTGGCTGTAGGAGTTCGCCTGTCTGACGGTCTGACCGTCTGATCTGACCGTCTGACCGTCTGACCGTCTGACCGTCTGATCTGACAATCTGACCGCCTGTCCGTCTGCTCGTCTGACCGTCTGACCGTCTGTCCGCCGTCAGACGGCCCCCGCAAGGTGCCCTATACGGCTCTGTACGCGTTCGAGGGCCGTTCCGCCGACGAGGTGTCCTTCCAGCCGGGCGACACGGTCCTGGTGAGTGGGTGGGGACGGGAGTACTGTCAGTATACTGAGTGGCCGGGCGACACGGTCCTGGTGAGTGACTGAGAGGGACAGGGGTGGGACCGTTAGACTGGCCGGGCGACACCGTCCTGGTGAGTGGGGACGGCAGGGGCCGCAGCTGGGGACGAGACGGTGTCCCTCCAGCCGGCCGACACGGTCCTGGTGAGTGACTGGGAGACAGGGATAGGGGCCGCGGCTGGGGACGGGTCGGTGTCCTTCCAGCCGGGTGATCTCTATGCTGGTGAGAGGGTGCGGCAGGGGCTGCAGCTGGGGACGCGTCGGTGTACACACGGTGTACTGTCGGGGGGCGGACACATGAGGCGTTTCCGGCTCACACAGATACTGCTGTATAACCAGACGTACTCGAACTCCAACATATAGACGTTTGTTCAGTCCTGTTCGGTTGCCAATACAAGCATGGATTTGTACAAAGCAAGTGTGATTTTAGCACAGATGATTGAAATGGATACCCTTTCACAATATGTGCTATGCTGCTCGCTGTCGCGCTGGTTTTTCCGTATCGGGGCCGCCATCGCTGCCCGCTGCCGCTGCTGACGGCTGTCCGTCTGTGTGGACAGATAAACCTGGACGCCAACCCGGAGCCCAGCTGGCTGGAGGGCGAGGTCAACGGCCGCGTCGGCTGGCTGCCCGAGTCGTACGTCGCACCGGCCGACGCCAGGTCAGTCTGCGCGTGTACACCGGCCGCCGCGCCCGGCAGCACCGCGGCCCGCCGTCCTGTGCTGAAATTGTCATTTCGGGTCGTGGTCCCGGAGGACAAAATCTGTCCGGAGAACAGGCCAGCTTTTAGAACAACCGATAGCAAAACCATAGGTGTGGCCTACTAAATGTGCTAAATAATGAGCCCTCTGACTCCCAATGACATTACTGCATAATGTAAGAAGCGCAGGTTTTATCACACAGGCGGAAAATCTACACGATTCCAGCTGTCGGAGTATAAATTTGTAAATAACAAATTCTTTAGGATCCCTGGGCCCAGAAAACGGACTTATTTCCAACGTTGACGCACGGAGTCCCTCCGTGTATCAGAGCGCGCTCACCATCCCTCCCGTGTATCAGAGCGCCCCCCCCCCGTGTGTCACAGCGCGCTCACCGCCCCTCATTGTATCAGAGCGCGCCCCCCCCCCTCCGTGTGGTGTATCAGATCACGCTCACCCACGGCCCCTCCGTGTTGGCAGCGTCGGTGTCGCCGCGGACGGCTCGTCGGCGGTGAACGGCACCTCCAGCGCCGCGCAGGTGAGTGAGCGGGGGGTGCGCCGGCAGACCGCCCCGTCCGTGTGAGCGCCCCGCCCGGCGGCCGGACCACCGCCACTGACCACCGCCACTGGCTGGCCTCACGGCGGGTGCTTGTTAATTTAGGGGGAGGGTGGCTTTATTGCTGTGTGGTAAAATTGGGGCTCATTGGCTGGGCTGCTTGACAAGTGTATTCCGTCTCACCAATTGGTCTTAGTGGGGCTTTGATGGATTTGGGTAAAATGATTAACACGATGTGGCTTTTACGTCCGTCCGTTTGGCATGCTGCTCAATCCAAACGCACCATAATTCACGTAACCAGATTCCCTCAGTAGGTATATAATAGACTTCTTGTAAAGCGTTTAGTTTGAAACAATGAGCAAACGACTCAAAACTGCATGGCATTACCGTGCTCGTAAACTACTTGGGCCTTCTAATGTATCTAAAGCTCTAACGTGTTTGCTGAGAATCAGCACTTATTTTCCACATCCTTGCTTCAAAGTTCAGCTCGCTTTCCGCACTAGTGCGCACCTCGCTGCAGTCCAACTGTCCGCCTGCTGTGTCCGTGTGCCGTGTGCCGTCTTCGTGTGCCGGGCCGTGTGGCGTGTGCTGTGTCCGTGTGCCGTGTCCGTGTGCCGTGTCCTGTGTCCCGTGTGTCCGTGTGTCCGTGTCCGTGTCTGACGCGGCCGGCTCGGCCCGCCGGCAGTCGGAGCAGGAGCCGCCGGCCGCCGAGCAGCCGCCAGCTGCCGACGGAGCCGCCACGGAGCCGGTGTCAGCGGCGCCGCAGCAGGTACTAACGGGGAGCACAGTGTCCCGTCCCTCCCTCCCCCGCCGGGTACTAACGGGAGCACACAGTGTCCCCTCCCTCCCCTCGACCAGAAACTAGCGGGGAGCACACAGTGTCCCCTCCCTCCCTCCCCTTCAACAGGTACTGACGGGGAGCACACAGTGTCCCCTCCCTCCATCATCAGGTACTGACGGGGAGCACACAGTGTCCCCTCTCTCCCCCATCAGGTACTAACGGGGAGCACACATTGTCCCCTCCCTCCCCCATCAGGTACTAACGGGGAGCACACATTGTCCCCCCTGCCTCCCCCATCAGGTACTAACGGGGAGCACACAGTGTCCCCTCCCTCCCCTCCGTCAGGTACTAACGGGGAGCACACAGTGTCCCATCCCTCCCCCATCAGGTACTAACGTGGAGCAGACAGTGTCCCCTCCCTCCCTCCCTCCCCCGCCGGTTACTAACGGGGAGCTCGGGCTCACAGTCTTCCCTCCCCTCCTTCTCTTCTAACAGGCGTCAGCGAGCCGCACCAGATGCTAACGTTGACTCCCCGCCATCCCTTCATCCCTCCGTCTCTCCCTCCCTCCCTTCTTTCTCGACCTTCTTTCGTCTACACTGTTCCCTGGACGTTACTGGGACGATGCGTATGGTGTGGTGTCCATTCTGCTTTCGGCTTGTTAATTGATTTGGAATTAGCGTTATGTTTTTTTATTTGAGTGCTTTCTGCATGCCGCACTATGTAATTGTACAAATACGTCGCCTATTTCCTGTTTTTGTTGACGTCACTTTTTTAATAGACCATATTTATTCGTGTAAATGTGTACTAAGGAATAAGGTGCAACATTTATTTATTTTTCTAATTGTATTAAAATGTGATAGACGTGTCGTGCAATGACACTACGATGACGCTGTCTGATGTCTGATGATGAGTGTCAGTGACTGCCAGTGACTCTGTCAGTGACTACCAGTGACTCTGTCAGTGCAGGGCCTCCTCTAAGGATTTTTCACTGGGTGGGCAGAATTTTCGCTACTCCCCTGCCCAAGGGCGAATCCAGCCACTGTTTTGGGGTTCAACCAATTTCAAAACCTGTTACCGGGGGGGGGGGGGGCGGGGGTGAGGCGAAATAAGCAGTGCCGTTATTGGAAATAAGATGATAGTTTGCAAAGTTAACGTTTGTCGTAAGTTTTATGGTTAGCGATGCTCGAGCGATTCGTTCCAGAGTTACATGTACAGCCCTCCGCAAACTGCGTGCTAGGTATTCTTATTCGGTATTCTTGCTATTTTGACAATGTACCAGTTTTTGTGACCTTGTGACCTGGCCTCGGGTCACTGGAACCTAAAACTCCAAGGCCAAGTGACAAACAGATGCTCCAAGTCGTGTCTTAACCCTCGCCCGCACATGGGGGGGGGGGGGGGTTGCCACCCCTCAGGTAGTCTTTCTGCTCTGCACTCAACATTTTTAGAGCTAGAAGGCTGATTTTTCGTATAGCTGCTCCTCTATCCTTTCTTGACGTCCACTGAAAATTTCAAGTTTCTGTGATTTTTGGTTTCGGAGATATGACCTTGTTTTTCAGGTCATGTCATGACCCAAATGGCCAATTCTCAACATCTTGCGTTGGCTATGGGCCTTGTGAGCTTTTGACACCTTGATTTCGGCCTTTTTTGCCAGTCTTACCTCCCACCTATCATGGAACATGTTGTTCGACGATGTACAGATGTCAAGGTCAAGGTCAAGGTCAACCTAGGTCATCTAAGATAATTGCGTTTTAGGCAAGCGGAATTTACTTTTTGTGAAGTTTTTTTGACTGCATTTTTGGTAAAAGCTTCTCAGATCATGATTTCATGTAATATGGACACATAACCAATCGGTGCACACATCAGTATACACACAGACACACACAGACATACAAACACATATAATTGACCTTGACCTAACTTGACCTGAAATGACCTCAGCAGCAAAAACCTGGTCGGGTAGTGTGACAAAGAGGTTCTAGCTGGCTTGGCACCAGAAAACGGCATCGTCATCGGTATATGATGAGCAGCGCACTTGATATTCAACGGTGACCAAAAACAGCAACATTTTTTAGTTTGACCTGACCTGGAAGGTCAATGACTGACCTGAGATGGTAAAACTGGGTATCATTGGATTCGTCTCTTCCCAAAAAATCTTTTTGGTCTTTACCGCTAAGCTCTATCTCCAACAGGAACGAAATGGCGCGGGGGGTAGCAACCCCCCCCATGTGCGTTCTAGGATGGGAAAATGGCATGTGCGGGCGAGGGTTAAATTTGGTAGCGCTACGAGCTATAGAACTCACGCTATCAACGAAAAACTCTGGCATTCGGTTGCCGCTAAACTAGTCCAATTTTCCCCTGACCTTGTACGGGGTTTGTGACCTGGTGACCTGACCTGAAAAGACTAGAGATCTGAAATTTTCAGGACAAGTGCCAAAAGGTTGCCCCAGAGGGTATGCCAAATTTGAGCGCCGCCGTTTTTACGTTATTTGTGGAAAAACCTTAGGGGGGGGGGTGCATCAACCCCCTCACCGGGCGAGGGCTAACTAACATAATACATTGTAGTAAAGGCTACCCGAACCGGTAATGATTCTTGCTTATTTGTTTAGCTCAGCCGTATTTAGAGATTTAGCTGGCTTTGTCCGTGAATTACAATATCGGCAGGGGCGTAGCCAAGGGGGAGGGGCCACGGGGCAATGGCCCCCTCCCTTGAGCGCAAAACGCGCCATGGGGGAGCCCCCCAGGCCCCGGGATATTTTTTTTTTCAAACACTGGATAAAACGTCTTTTACTCGGAAGAAAATTGATATCGAAGTTTCATTTATGTGGCCCTCTGATGGCCCAATGGGCCCCTGCACTCATCCGATGACCCCCGGTTTTCTGGGGCCCCTGGTCGCCCAGAGGGCCCCGGTCGCTTGGGGGCTAGTCGCCTTGGGGCCCCTGGTCGCCTGGGGGCCTGGTCGCCTGGCCCCTGCCCCCTGGTCGCCTGGAAGAACGCTTGTCACCTGCAGTGGCATAGCCAAGGAGGGGGCCAAAGGGACCATGCCCTCCCCCCCCTGGAAGCCAGGGGTCCTTATTCTATAGGGGCCCCTGGCTGACACAGTGGGCCCTTGGCGACGCAAAGGCCCCTGCGGCAGATCCTTTGACACAGCTGAGTAGTTATACCTTGGCCAAGAGAGCCCCAATTTTAGAGCCTTGGGGCCCTATTGAAACCAGGGGGTCAGTTGGATGGGATGGGTCCAACTTGAGTCCAACGGTGTGTAAACAGAATCAATGCGTTCCGACTGTTGATCTGACCCTATATCGGTTTGAGGGAGCTCGGATCGGATCCACTGTCGATCTGAGGGACCCCTATCGGTTTGAGGAAGCCCTCAAATGCCCTGAACGGGTCCTTAGTTTGTCTGAGAGAGCCCTCCGTCGGCATGACTGGGCCTCTGCAAGTGCAAGGAGGGCTTTTGTCGGTCTTAGTGGCCCTTAGGCGGCTTATATGACCCTCAGACGGCTTACGAGGCTCTCATGCGCTGTAGGGGCCTGTGACGGTCTGAAGAACCCTCATCCGACCTACGGGCCCTCAGACCGCCCTCAAAACCGACTGGCGACTCTAGGAAGCTATTCGTGGGCCTATCTAACAGGGCCCATGGACTGCTTACCCCCTCAGTTCTAATATTTTTTGTTTATAAATATTTTTCTATTTATTTGGGCCCCCTCCAAAAATTATTGGATCCAACCAGATGGCTTTTTGGATTTTGAGGGGGTTATTTTGGGCCCCTGTGCGTTTAGCCCCCTCCTTGAGGAAATTCTGACTACGCCCCTGAATATCGGGCAACCAGAAAACTTTTTTTGACCTTCAAACAGCATCCAGTTTGCTTAAGACCAGAAAGGTAGTACCGGACGTCCGGCCGGACCAGAATTTTTGCATTTGCTTCTGGGTGGGCAAATCGACGCCACTGGGTGGGCAATTGCGGTGACTGGGTGGGCATTTGCCCACCCAGTGGGTATGTTAGAGGAGGCCCTGTGTCAGTGACTACCAGTGACTCTGTCAGTGACTACCAGTGACTCTGTCGGTGACTCTGTCGGTGACTCTGTCGATGACTCGGTCAGTGACTCTGTCGGTGACTCAGTGTGTCCGGTGTTTCAGACGGCGAGTCCAGCGGTAACGTCAGGAGGTGAGCAGACCGGGACCGGGACCGGGGCGTCCACTGTCCACTGTCCACTGTCCACTGTCCACTGTCCACTGGGGCGGGCGTCCACTGTCCACCGGGACCGGGGCGTCCACTGTCCACCGTCCACCGGGGTCAGACGTCCACTGTCCACCGGAACCGGGCGTCCACTGGGACCGGGACCGGGGCGTCCTCTATCCACTGTCCACCGTCCACCGGGGTCAGACTCAGAAGTCCACTGTCAACCGGGTTCGGGCGTCCACTGTCCACTGTCCACCGGGACTGGGTGGATAGTGAACAGTGTGTACAGGGTGTCTCAAAAGTTCGTTTACACATTTCCCATGTCAATAAAGCATATAAGAACCTGCAAAAAATCTAAGGTTTTGGTGTCCGTGTGTACACTAGACAAATATGCATGCTTTGACAACTGATTCGGAAGGTTGGAAACCAAACCCTTTGCTGTATCTCCAAAAATATTTGCCCATACCGATTTTCGTCACTCTGTCAGCTGCCGGAGGCTGATAAAGGGTTACCAGCTTTCAAGCTCTTGTAGGGGAATCCCCTGCAGTTTCTGCGTCGGATTTAGGTTTGACGAGCTCCCCGGCAACATCCGCTTCTCCCTGAAAGCCGACAGCTTGCATGGACACCATCCGTGAGTATTTTGTAGGTCTTCTCTGGCGCTAACTCCTTCATGAATGACTGGCGCCGACTTCCCAAGCACCATTTTCCTTTTCAAAACAACCCCATTCCTGAACAAATGGGAAGTGCCAGGGGCAAATTTTTCGCAGCATATCGTAGCAGAATGTGTCGGCCATCTGTTTCTTAGACACATTTTGCAAATTTTGCAAATCCCGAACGCTCGTCATTCCCAATGCCAAGACCTTCGCTGGGTTCCGGAGTGTTTTCCTCAGGAGAGGTTCTGCTTTGTAAACGGCCAAAACCTGTCCATCGTGCGGTTTTGTCCGGATTTTGTGTGTAAAAGAAAGCTATTTACTCCAGATCTGCCTCTTGAAACTTCGTTAGATAAAACTTTACATTAATTGACACTTTTGGAGGGTCATTTGTCCTCGGAATCGACGATTTTCGCATTATTTTCCCTCAAAATTTAGCGTTATAGATATTATAAACAACTTTAAATGATATTTTGTCTTTATTTTATGATGACCTGCAATTTTTGAAACTGGGTAACCTCTGTCTGTGAGCTTCTAGTCAGTTTTCAATAGTTAGGACTGCATTTTCAGCTGCTTTCCGGAGCACGAGTCTGCTGCGGTACAAGGGTCGTTCAAAGCGCTGTTAGTCTCGCATGGTTTTGTCCTTCAAAAATTTTAGCCACCGTTTTTATTAGATGACAATCATGTTGTACTCATCCTCGCCGACACTTTGCCATGTGTCATTTCCGACCTAACCATTCCCATTACTCGTGAAGCAGAGAGTTTCTCAGCCGACCCGAGTATGCGACCTCCATTTTCATGCCTGATCCATGGTCAGAGGTGAACCCTTTTTGTGAGCTCATGAAGGGTCGAATGCGCTTGAAAACAATGAAGCTGCTTGAGGAAGGTTGTTACCAATGCCCATGCAAAATTTCGACTGTTAATTTCTTGTTGATTCAGAATTATTGACAAAAAAGCATGGCTGGTACCTGTAAGCGAACTTTTGAGACACCCTGTATAGTGGACGCTATCCACCATTGTCCACTGTTCACTGGGACCGGGTCCACTGTCCACTGTCCACACTCCACCGCCCACTGTCCACCGGGACCGGGGTGGGCGACCACTGTCCAGTGTCCAGTGTCCACTGTCCACTGTCCACTGTCCACCGGGACCTGGCGTCCACTGTTGTCCGGGACCACTGAACGTAATCTCCCCGCACCTATGGAGGGTGTGTGGTGCGCAGCCCCGTCTCTGCCACCCCGGCAAGACAGTGACGCCCGCTCCGTTACAGAGCGGTACGTGGCGCTGTACACGTACGAGTCGTCCGAGCCCGGCGACCTGGTGTTCCAGCAGGGCGACACCATCCTGGTGACGGAGAAACACGGCGAGTGGTGGACGGGCACGCTGGGCGCCGCCACCGGCATCTTCCCTTCCAACTATGTCCAGCTGCTCGAGGTGAGGCCGCGCCCCCGCACTGACAGTGTGCCGTGGGCCGCGCGCCCGGACTGACAGTGTGCCGTGGGGAAGCACTGACCGTCTAACAGCATTGTGCCTTAGGATGGCACGGGGTAACAACAGTGCGCTTTGGGCTGATACACAGCAATGTGCCGTGTACTGAAACTGACAGCAGTATGTCGTGGGCTGAGACTGAGACTGACTGACGGCAGTGTGCCGTGGACTGAGACTGATTGACGACAGTGTGCCGTGGGCTGGGACTGCCTGACAGCAGTGTGCCGTCAGGGCTGAGACTGACTGACGACAGTGTGCCGTGGACTGAGACTGACTGACAACAGTGTGCCGTGGGCTGAGACCAGTGTTCTAAAATTGGATATTGATTGGATGTGCCGATGAAGAAAAAAATCTTAGGATGAAAAAAAGAAAGCAAATAACTGCAGTATTTTTGCAAAATGGTGTAATGCCAATTTTTATGCTAACTGATAAACCAGGATTTCATGTCAGGATCTTGACAGGGTGTGGAACAAAAGGATGTGGGTGCATCAACTGTCAAGTGACAAGTGAACTGGCTGTTGGGAATACATGAAACTCTTTTCAGAGATGAAGTAAAGTTGGTCATTCATTTCTTAGAGATGAAAATATTTTCCCCATTAGGTGTGATTTGCCACCAAAAAGGCTGAAAAATGAAACACTGGCTGAGACTGACTGACGACAGTGTGCCGTGGGTTTACTGACGACAGTGTGCCGTGGACTGAGACTGACTGACACCAGTGTGCCGTGGGCTGAGACTGACTGACGACAGTGTACCGTGGACTGAGACTGACTGACGACAGTGTGCCGTGGGCTGAGACTGACGACAGTGTGCCGTGGGCTGAGACTGACTGACGACAGTGTGCCGTGGACTGAGACTGACTGACACCAGTGTGCCGTGGGCTGAGACTGACTGACGACAGTGTGCCGTGGGCTGAGACTGACGACAGTGTGCCGTGGGTTTACTGACGACAGTGTGCCGTGGACTGAGACTGACAGACGACACCAGTGTGCCGTGGGCTGAGACTGACTGATGACAGTGTGCCGTGGGCTGAGACTGACTGACGACAGTGGGCCGTGGGCTGAGACTGAGACTGACTGACGACAGTGTGGCGTGGACTGAGACTGACTGACGACAGTGTGCCGTGGACTGAGACTGACTGACGGCAGTGTGCCGTGGGCTGAGACTGACTGACGACAGTGTGCCGTGGACTGAGACTGACTGACAACAGTGTGCCGTGGGCTGAGACTGACTGACGACACCAGTGTGCCGTGGACTGAGACTGACTGACGACAGTGTACCGTGGACTGAGACTGACTGACGACAGTGTGCCGTGGGCTGAGACTGACGACAGTGTGCCGTGGGCTGAGACTGAGAGACTGACTGACGACAGTGGGCCGTGGGCTGAGACTGACTGACGACACCAGTGTGCCGTGGACTGAGACTGACTGACGACAGTGTGCCGTGGGCTGAGACTGACGACAGTGTGCCGTGGACTGAGACTGACGACAGTGGGCCGTGGGCTGAGACTGACTGACGACACCAGTGTGCCGTGGACTGAGACTGACTGACGACAGTGTGCCGTGGGCTGAGACTGACGACAGTGTGCCGTGGACTGAGACTGACTGACGACAGTGTGCCGTGGACTGAGACTGACTGACAACAGTGTGCCGTGGGTTTACTAACGACAGTGTGTCGTGGGCTGAGACTGACTGACTAACCACAGTGTGCCGTGGACTGAAACTGACTGAGGACAGTGGGCCGTGGGCTGAGACTGAGACTGACTGACGACAGTGTGCCGTGGGCTGAGACTGAGACTGACTGACAACAGTGTGCCGTGGGTTTACTAACGACAGTGTGCCGTGGGCTGAGACTGACTGACGACAGTGTGCCGTGGGCTGAGACTGACTGAGGACAGTGGGCCGTGGGCTGAGACTGACTGACGACACCAGTGTGCCGTGGACTGAGACTGACTGACGACAGTGTGCCGTGGGCTGAGACTGACGACAGTGTGCCGTGGGCTGAGACTGAGAGACTGACTGACGACAGTGGGCCGTGGGCTGAGACTGACTGACGACACCAGTGTGCCGTGGACTGAGACTGACTGACAACAGTGTGCCGTGGGCTGAGACTGACTGACGACACCAGTGTGCCGTGGACTGAGACTGACTGACGACAGTGTACCGTGGGCTGAGACTGACGACAGTGTGCCGTGGGCTGAGACTGGCTGACGACAGTGTACCGTGGACTGAGACTGACTGACGACAGTGTGCCGTGGGCTGAGACTGACGACAGTGTGCCGTGGGCTGAGACTGAGAGACTGACTGACGACAGTGGGCCGTGGGCTGAGACTGACTGACGACACCAGTGTGCCGTGGACTGAGACTGACTGACGACAGTGTGCCGTGGGCTGAGACTGACGACAGTGTGCCGTGGGCTGAGACTGACTGATGACAGTGTGCCGTGGGCTGAGACTGACTGACGACAGTGTGCCGTGGACTGAGACTGACTGACTAACGACAGTGTGCCGTGGACTGAAACTGACTGAGGACAGTGGGCCGTGGGCTGAGACTGACTGACGACAGTGTGCCGTGGGCTGAGACTGAGACTGACTGACAACAGTGTGCCGTGGGTTTACTAACGACAGTGTGCCGTGGGCTGAGACTGACTGACGACAGTGTGCCGTGGGCTGAGACTGACTGTGCCGTGGGCTGAGACTGACTACAGTGTGCCGTGGACTGAGACTGACTGACGACAGTGTGCCGTGGACTGAGACTGACGACAGTGTGCCGTGGACTGAGACTGACTGACGACAGTGTACCGTGGACTGATACTGACTGACGACAGTGTGCCGTGGACTGAGACTGACTGACTGACGGCATTGTGTGTCTGCGCGCGAGTGCGTGTGCGTGGGTGTGTGTACGTGCGCGGAAGCGCTGAGCCTCGAGTGCCGTTGCGCCGCCGCTCCGCCGCGCTAACCGGTTGGCTGTGCCGCCATGAGGCTCACTGACAGCACGGAGCCGGCGGCCTAACGCTGCACTGCGACCCATAACGCTCCGCCCGCCGGGTAGCCAGCTTGTGCGCGCAGTCGGGGCGCCGCCTGCAATCGGAGCGGCCGGCCAGGTAGGTGCCCGCTGACCGCTGCTCGCTGACCGCTGACCGCTGACCGCGCCGGCTGGTGCCGCTGACTGCAGGAGCAGCCGGAGCCGGAGCCGCCGGCCGCGACGCCCCAGCCCAGCGAGCCGACCACCGAGCAGAGTCAGCCGGCTGACCGACAGGTGGGTGCGGCGGCGGCGGACAGACGCGGGGACAGTCGGAGGGGGCGGGGGACTGGGACTCTCGGGGGACGGGACGGGCGCCGTGGCAGTCAGATGCTGGTCGGCGGCGGGACGGACGCTGGTGATGGGCTGGTGCTGGGGACAGTCAGATGTTGGTCGGCGGCGGGACTGGCCAAATATCAGTCCCGCCGTCGGGTGGCGGCGCGGGCGAGATGTCGGCGCGTGTGTGCTGCTCGCGGGGCGCGGCGCGTCCACTCGGCTGCGGCTCACGTCTGACGGGGCTCGTTTTTAGGGTGGCGGCGCGGCGCCGGGCCTGCTGCCCGTGCCCGAGCGCAGAGACAAGGAAAGTAGTGCTGTGCGGACCGGCGGCGCGTGCACGGCCGGTCGCCGCTGCCGCTGCCGCTGTCCCTGTCTGTGGCTGCTGTACTTAGGCGGGCCGTGACTGTGGACTGCGCTCTATGGGCCGGGCCGACCTCTCAGCCTCTACCCTCCCCCGGAGAGACGGGCCCTCAACTGACGACCCCCTGCGTCCCCCCCCCCGGCGCCGCTCTCTCCAGCTGTCGCTCTGTGCTGTCACTCACTGTTTCTCTCTTTCTCCCTCGCCTCTGCTGCTCGCTTAGCGCACGGAATCGGTTGGCCACAGTGCCAGGCCGCTGGGCGTGGGACGCGCGCCCAGTGTCAAGGTACGGTGGGAGCGGTGCACCCCACTGCCGCCTCGCTCAGCACCGCATGTCTGTGTGTCGCCGCGGGCCGGTAGCATGTCGCGGGTGGGGGGCGGGCGCCTCGGCCGGAGCCGCAGCGCTGCACGGGCCGCCGTGGGTACTCAGCTCCGGCCCCACACGGCTCCGGCGATGGCTGCTCTGGCTCAGGCGCTCATTGTGGTCATGACGTGCATTGTTTTACTTTGTTATATCATTCAACTAGCAAACGAGAGCACTTACGCGCGTGGTCAAGCACATTCCTCTGTTTTAAAATGGCTGTAAAAAGCACACACTCATTCAGCGTTCATTTGACGTTCAGTTTGTTTTCGGGTATTTTTCTTGTATTTTGTATTTCGGTGGTCTCCCATTACGCGCATTTTTCTCGACTTCCGTCCGGTGGCTGCGCCCGGCCTGCCTGAGATAATCAGATACCGTGCGGAGTCGTCGTGTGGCTGAATGGTTAGCTCTCGCAGCCTGCGCAGTGCATGGTTCCTGCGCCTCGTTGGACGTATCATTCGAGTTTGAATGGAATGGACAGGTGCCCATCGGTGGGGGTCTTAGTCAAGTTAACATACCTTTTATTGGATAACGATGTAAACATCAGTTACTATGGCTCAATAATCTATAAGTATCATACCACTTTATTTTATATCTTCATAACATTTTTTCGTTGACGCTATCGCATCGACCGGTATGCATCACATTAGGTGTAGTATTCTGGTGATAAGATGTTGCTACTCGAGAAATTCCATTCTGTGTATGTGTTTGCCGGTGTACGCCGGTCATCTGTCAGTCGTCAAATGTGACCCGTGTGTGACCCGTTTGTGACCCGTGTGTGACCCGTGTGACCCGGGTGTGACCGCGTGTGTGACCGGGTGTGCTGTCGGCCCTCAGAAGCGGAAGGGTGAGGTGGCGGTGGCGATCGCGCCCTACGAGGCGACCAGCTCTGAACAGCTCTCACTCTGCCGCGGCCAGCTGGTGATGGTCCGCAAAAAGTCCGAAACCGGCTGGTGGGAGGGCGAGATTCAGGTACGTACTGATAGGCTGGTGGAAGGAGGAGGGCGAGTTTCGCACTTACATTGCGATTCTTCTCGCTGGTTGTCCCATTTTAATCTGTGTTTTCCTGGTTAGACGTCGACCCAGCTGCGCTGATGTGCTGCCGGCGCGGCTCTGCCCCCCCCCCCCCCGGCTCCACTGACGTGCCCCCCCCCCCCCCCTCCCCAGATGCGTGGCAAGCAGCGCCAGCTCGGCTGGTTCCCGGCCTCGTTCGTCAAGCTGAAGACCTCGCGGCGCATGTCGATCCCGGACGAAGCGGAGCCGCCCATGCCAGACGCCCAGTGCCCCGGCGACGCACCCGCGCCCGACCCCGGCGCACCCAAAGGTACGACTCCGGGCCCCGGCGTCCCCATAGGTACGACACTGGACTCTGGCGCCCCCAAAGGTACGGGGCCAGACCATATTCCAGAGATCCCACCAGAGATTACGGCAGACCGGATCCTGGAGATTCGAAAAATGTTGCACTTATACAGTATTGTACCACTGTGCGCCCTCAATAATGACTACCGGGGGACTCGCGCCCTACAGAACGCCTCAGCGTCTTAAAATTCAGCCACGGAGCCAAATATCGTCTGATCTTTACTGGGAAGTTTTTCTCTATTCAAGGCGCTCTTCAGAGCCGCCTGACAGCCCGGTTCATGTTCACACACCACCCACCATTTGTCTCAGGGGTGCCCTGCAGCAGAGATCTCCCCCTGTCCTGCTCTCACCTGTGCCCTGATCTCCCCCTGCCCTGATCTCCCCCTTCCCTGATCTCCCCCTGCCCTGATCTCCCCCTGTCCTGATCTCCCCCTGCCCTGATCTCCCCCTGTCCTGATCTCCCCCTGCCCTGATCTCCCCCTGCCCTGATCTCCCCCTGCCCTGATCTCCCCCTGCCCTGATCTCCCCCTGCCCTGATCTCCCCCTGCCCTGATCTCCCCCTTCCCTGATCTCCCCCTGTCCTGATCTCCCCCTGCCCTGATCTCCCCCTTCCCTGATCTCCCCCTGTCCTGATCTCCCCCTGCCCTGATCTCCCCCTGTCCTGATCTCCCCCTGCCCTGATCTCCCCCTGCCCTGATCTCCCCCTGCCCTGATCTCCCCCTGCCCTGATCTCCCCCTGCCCTGATCTCCCCCTGCCCTGATCTCCCCCTGCCCTGATCTCCCCCTGCCCTGATCTCCCCCTGCCCTGATCTCCCCCTGCCCTGATCTCCCCCTGTCCTGATCTCCCCCTGCCCTGATCTCCCCCTGCCCTGATCTCCCCCTGTCCTGATCTCCCCCTGTCCTGATCTCCCCCTGCCCTGATCTCCCCCTGCCCTGATCTCCCCCTGTCCTGATCTCCCCCTGCCCTGATCTCCCCCTTCCCTGATCTCCCCCTGCCCTGATCTCCCCCTTCCCTGATCTCCCCCTGCCCTGATCTCCCCCTGCCCTGATCTCCCCTGTGTCGTGCTGTCCCTCTGTTAAGACCTCGCCCACCATATGTCTCAGAGGTGTCCTGCTCTCACCCTGTTTAGAACTCCCCTCTACCCTACCATCCTCCCTGCCCCACTCTCCCCTCCGCCGTGCTCTTTCCCCTCCGCCCTGTTGTCCTCTCCGCCCTGCTGTCTCCTCCTGCCCTGCTGTTCCCTGTCACGACTTTGCCGTGCGCCCGCTCACGGTGTGCGTCTTGCCGCAGAGCGCGTGGTGGCGCAGTTCCCCTACTCGGCGCAAAACGACGACGAGCTCACATTCCAGGCGGATGACGTCATCACTGTGGTGAACAAGGTTAGTGGGCGGCGCCACCTGAGGGGGGGGGGGTCATATGTGGGGAACTGGGTGGACTGGGTGACGTCAGTGGTCGGCGTGACGTCACTGTGCCGGGTACGTCACTGGGCGGGGTGTGTACCAAAGTGAGCTGTCTGCGGGGAATGTGTGGGCTTACTTTAGCCCGTTGTGACCCGCCGGTGTCGGGACGTCACTGTACCGGCTCCTCTGACCCCGCCCCCTCCCCCTGTACCGTGTGACACTGGCCCCTCTGACCAGTGACCCGCTCCCAGTACCGTGAGCCGGCCCCTCTGACTCCGCTCCCCCCTGTACCGTGTACCGCACCCCTCTGACTCCGCCCCCCGCCCGTCAGGACGACACGGCCTGGTGGAAGGGCGAGCTGCACGGCGTGGTGGGCCTGTTCCCGTCCAACTACGTGGCTCCCCAGTGTGAGTACTGAGACTGACCGTCACCGCGGCACCCAGTCAGCCGGGGCCCCGGCCGCGCACCCGCTGCATACACACACACGCTTACACCGGGCCGCCGGCGCTGGCGGTCGGTCGGGCACGCATTGTTTGCGATACCGGAGACACCCGGAGAGTACCTAAAGGTCGCCCCACACTGGACCTCGCATGCGGGTTGCGGGTTTTTGGGTTTTCGGGTTTCTTCAAAATCAAATAGTACAATCTAAGCCGAGTGACCCACACTACCATCTAACAAGAGAGTCCGCATGTTTTTAGCTTGCGAGCCACCTTGTTGATTCCAAAGAAAGTTGATTTCCAAAAGTTGATTTTGAGTCAACTTTCTATTTTCCTCGCTGCGAGGGCTGCGAGTTCTGCGAGGTTTGCAGGTTTTTTGTTTGAATCGAATTTTGGTTCGTTGCGCTGGTATTGCGACTTTGTGTAATTTTCTGAAGGTGTACCGGCTTCACTGCATTCATGAAGTTACCATAAGGGAACGGTCTTATCACTCTTTGAATTAGTATTATGCCCGCAAACTCAAAACCCGCAAACTCGCAACCCGCATGCGAGGTCCAGTGTGGGGCGGCCTTAACTGGGCGGTCCAGTAGAGACGGTAACGTTCCGGTGTGACGTTTTGCACGCTGCTTGACCGTCCCACGGCTGTGTGGTCGTCCCGCCTGTCCTGCCTGTGTGTCTGTGTGTGTGTTTTGTGTAGCTGGTAGTGTCGGCGACATCCCCCGCCCCGACTGGCCCCAGGACAGCACCGAGTTGACCCAGGACGGCGCTGACTGCATGGACGGCCGACGGGGGGATATTGGGGACGGGACGAACGGGACCGGACGAGCTCAGGACACGACCGGCTGGCTGCATGGACGGGGGGGGGGCGAGAAGGGATGGAAACGGAACAGGACGGGACGGAGCGTGTCGGGCCCAGGACAGCACTGATCCCGGACGGGACGGGACGGGACGGACGGACCCAGGACGGGACGGAATGGAACGGGACGGGACGGGGCGGACGGGATTGGACGGACCCAGGACGGGACGGGACGGGCCCAGGACAGGATGAGACGGGACACACCCAGGACGGGACGGGATGGGGCGGGAGGGGGACGGACGCCGCCACCAGTCTCTGCGCATGTTAGATCGCCCGAAATAGCTAGACGGACTGATTTTTAGCTTTTTTAGCCTCCTTTTTCTGTGATTAATATGCGAAAACCGTCTAAACACGTGGCAGCTTTGGTGATTTGCTGGTTATTACCTACCACAGTAGCTTAGCTTGGCAAGCTTGCGTTTTTTGAAAATATATTTGTAACCAGTGGATGTTGAATAGAATGTGTGTTGAATAGAATAGAATCTAGTGTCCAATTTTAGCGCAGCTAAACCAAGTTGCTGATAATGCTAGTCTGGCAGGTTGACGTGCAATGAATATATCTTGGAATAGACTGCTACATCTTTTTATGTAACGCTGAGCGTAGAACTTAAATGATTTAATAACTTTCTTATACTGCAACTGTTTCAAAACCCCGTGCACTCCGCTATTGTTAAAAACCAGTGCACTTGTCGTTATTCAAAAACCTACCGGAAGTGGAAAACACTTGCGGTGTTTAGTTGTAACTGGGCGGCAGAAGTAACGTTTATGCTCCATTACGCGCTGATGTTGCGCCGTCATGCGTTGGTGCATGCTCGGCCAGCAGCCCCCAACCATTGGGAGGGGGCTGCACCTCCCCCTGACCGCCGGGAGGGCGGGGACTGAGGGTGGCTGGGGAGGAAACTGAGGGCGGCTGGGGAGGGGGCCGAGGGCGGCTGCGGAGGGGCTGAGGGCGGCTGGGGAGGGGCTGGGAGGCCGAGGGCGGGGACTGAGGGCGGCTTGGGAGGGACTGAGGGCGGCTGCGGAGGGGGCCGAGGGTGAGCGCTGGGGCGACCGAGCTCCGCTGGGGAGCCGGCCGGCCGGATCGTGGTCTGACGCGCCGCCGCCCCGCTGCCGGCAGGAGCGGCTCGGCCGCCGCGACTGGACTGGACGCGACTGGACCCGACTGGACTGGACCGCCCGTCTCCCCGTCGCCGTCCGTCCGTCCGTCTGTCGTCTCTCGTCTGTCGTCTCTCGTCTGCCGTCGGCCGGCGCCGCCGCGCGGCCAGCGCCGCCCCTCGCGTCTCGTCTTGGCTAGTCGTCCGTCTATCTGTCTGTCTGTTGGTGTCTGTCCGTCTCTCGGTCTGTCTGGTGTGCCGCTGTACTCCAGAGTTCCGTTTCGGTTGACCCGGGCTATGTAGTGCCAGCGGTATGCTGCTGGGTTCTGCCGTCTGTCGGTAACACTAGGAGGACGCCCCGGCGGTGTGTGGTACGGTGCTGCTGCGGTGCACTGTGTTACTATGGTGTCGGCCGGGCGGCCAGTTCCCCTCCCATCAGCTGTCAGTGGCGGCCGGTCGATGCGGGGGTGCGGGTCCGTCGTCTGCCAGGTCTGCCGAGCGGTCGACCCCCCCCCCCCCCCCGACCGACTGGCAGCAGGTGACGCCAGCGCGGCGGTCATCTCGAGCGCGTGATAAAAACATTATTCCATATGTTTGTTATTTGCTGACTTTAATGAATTTGTTGTTTAAACTTTGTTTAAAGTATATTATATGTGAAGAGCTACTAAGCAGTATATAGATATTCGGGCCGTGGTTGTTATTTTATTTTACGGGCATGCGGTGATTAGTATATTGTTTAGGTCCGTATATGGGATGCTGACATCTTATTATGTTGATATGAAACCCAGTCTGGAATGGATTAGTAGCTATGGCGTTCCGTGCCTACCGGCCTAGGTCTCTCTTTCTCCCTTGTGTGTGTCAGCTGGCCCACTGTGCGGTGTGCGTGGTCTAACGGAGATAGAGTGTATGAAGCACTAGAGCGAGGTCCGAATGGTCACCGAACAGCTTCTAGAAGCGGCCCGTGCCGGCGCGAGACGATGCCGGGCGAGGGCCGGTGTGGGGTCCGCCCTCCGCCCGTCCCACACCGAGAGCTCGGAGTCTGTGCGGGGTCATCCGCACCCACGGCTTCGTCCGGCGGCGCGCGGCCACTCGTGGCATGAATCTCGGCCCGCCGGCAGTGGTCACTGGCCAGCCGGTAGTGGCCCGCCGGCAGCGGTCACTGGTTCCTTGTCAGGTGTCACTGGTCGGCCGGCAGTGGTCACTGGCTCCCTGTCAGGTGTCAGCGCTCTGTACTGGTCTCGGCGGCGTCGCCCTGCGGTTCGCGCGACACCCTCAGAGCCGGGCGGAGCGGCCCACCGACACTCCACCCACCGACCCACACACACACATCGCCTTGCGCCTCTCTCCTCTTCTCCTTCCCCTCTATTTCACTCCATCTCTCTCCCTCTCTTCCCGACCCCGTCTCTCTCTCTCCTACCCTGTGCCCTCTCTCGGCAATCGTCACAGCCGCACGGCCTGCCGTGGCGTCTGTTCGTTCCAGCCGCACGGCCTACCGTGGCGTCTGTGGGCCGCGGACTCCGGCGGGGTGTGCTGGGCTAGATATTAATGTCGCGTTATTCACTGACTGCGTGTGGCTGGTGTAACCGAGCTATCTATTTATTTCCGCGTGACGCTGCGGCTGCCGCGGGGTGGAGGGGCGGCAGTGCGCTGCTCCTCCCCTCCCCTCTCTCTCCGCCGCTCTGCCGTCGTGGCCGCCTCAGCGGACGTAGCAGCGGCTACACCGCTTCTCCATGTATCCCGCCCTTACTCGGTGTTAGTGTAATACAGGGCCGTCTGCACCTACGCCGGAGTTTGTCGAGGAGCGGGACGCGGCGGGGCATAACGTGGAACCACTCAGACGGGTGTGACAGACGGGTAACAGCTCAGTTCAGTCGGTGCATAGGCACCCGACTCAAACCAGTCATTTGGCAAACTCTGGATAAACCCACAGCTAGGTACGTAGTACGTACTTTCTACTTCTGGACATTTGTAAAGAACGCTGCCATACCTGAAAGAATTTGCAAGCTACACTTAATCACAACTGGATTATATTACACAAATGGATTATATTATTAATCACTATAGGCTCGTAAATGTGCTCCTGGAGATCGTTGGGTGCATAGAAAGCTTTCAGCGTCCTTCCGGATAACTTTGTTGGCCATCGTTCTCAGGTGGAGCACGGCTTTACAAGCCAACCCTCGTACGGCCTCAGCAGGAAAGCGCTGTCATGTGTTCGGAGTGGGGCCCTGTGGGGCTTGGGTTTCCCCTGCTATGTATGAATTGTCTGAACATTGCACGACCATATCGTAGCAGTCCTCTCCAGCCGCACCCAGGGGATGATTCGGTCACAGAAACTCTCGTTAGACCATCTCACCGAGACGGCTGTCCCTGCTGCCCCTCTCCCCGTCGGCAGATGATGACGGCGCCGCCACGACCTACGACAGACAGCACTCGTACGGGTACGACCCCCCGGCGGACGGGTACGACCCCCCGGCGGACGGGTACGGCCCCGCGGCGGACGGGTACGGCCCCGCGGCGGACTGGTCGGGCGGGGCCGGCCGGCAGCCGCCGCCGGACGGCGTCTGGGAGGACAGCTGGTCCAGCTCGGAGGAGGGCGCCGCCCCGTACGAGGAGGCGCCCGCCGTCGGCCCGCCGGTGACCACAGAGCAGGACAGGCAGCGCCAGGAGGCCATCGCGGAGCTCATCGACAGCGAGCGCAGCTACTTGGCCAGCATGGCGCTGGTCACTGAGGTCAGCCAGGTCTAAAGAGGTCATAGACATGTCACAGAGGGGTCACAGAGGTCACAGAGAGGTCATATCGGGGCCAGAGAGATCACAGAGGTCAGCCCAGTCACAGAGAGGTTACAGAGAAGTCACAGGAGCAACCACTGCTCAGTGAAGACCTTTTCTGACTCCCGTCCTGTGCCGCCTGAAGTCTGTCTAGACTTGCACCACCCTGAGCTCTGTCCCGCCCGGGCCCTGCCCCGCCCCGCCCCGTGCCGTGCCGTGCAGGTGTTCCGCCGTCCGCTGGCGGCCGCCGGCCTGCTGACGCGCGAGGAGTCGCACGCGCTGTTCGTCAACTGGTCGGACCTGGTCAAGACCAGCCGCAAGCTGGTCGTGTCGCTCAAGGTGCGCCGGAAGATGTCGGCCGGCGGCGTCATCCAGCTCATCGGAGACATCATGTGTGAAAACGTGAGTCACTGCAGACGGCGGGAGGGGGCGGGGAACGGAGGGAGAGGGGAGGGAGAAAGAGAAAGGGTAGAGAGACATAGGGTCTGTTCCAGTCGCACTTCCTAACACCTCTAAACTCCTCCAAGATTGCTTCCCTGTTCCAGTGGCAGCTCTAGCCCCCACAAAGCCAAGGAGGGCCCTGCTCCAACCTCCTCTATATTGCTCTTGGAGGAGTTAAGAGGTGTAAGGAAGTGCGACTGGAACAGACCCATAGAGAGACGTGGGGTATAGGTGATTGCTTGTGATCTATCAAATACCCGATCAATTCAGGTTATTATTCCATGGTTCACTGTATCTGACGAGAACGTGTCAGTCGTCAGTATCCCGTCCCATGCTGCTATTTTGGCCGTCTGAATCTGACCCAGTCTGTAGTAGCCCTGTGTCAGTGTCCCGTTCCGTGCCGCTGTATACGGCCGGCCGTGTCTGGCCCGGTCTGTGGTAGCCCTGTGCCAGTGTTCCGTGCCGCTGTATACGGCCGGCTGTGTCTGGCCGCGTCTGTACGGTCGCTGCTCTGTCCGCCGCAGCTGCCGCACATGGAGTGCTACATGCGCTTCTGCAGCTGCCAGCTGCGCGCCGCCACGCTGCTGCAGAAAAAGGTGCAGCACCCGCGGTTCGACGATGCGGTGCGCCGGTGTCAGAGCGACCCGCGCGCCGGTGGGATGCCGCTCAGCAGCTTCCTGCTGAAACCCACCCAGCGCGTCACCAAGTACCCGCTGCTCATCAAACAGGTCAGAGCCGAGCCGACACGGAGACAAACACGGGGAGTCACCACTGAGACAAGGGGAGCCGTCTCTGAGACAGACACGGGGAGCCGCCGACACCGAGACACGGGAGCCGCCACTGAGACATGGGGAGCTGCCACTGAGACACGGGGAGCCGCCACTGAGACACGGGAGCTGCCACGAGGCTGGGGTCTGGCGGTCCGTGTTGTGCTCTGTGCTGCATTCCAATGGACTGGTGGCCGTATAGTGGAGCTGTTTGGGGGTGTCTAATGACTGGTGGCTGACGCGGCGGCGTTGCGGGCGGCGTGTGTGACCGTGTCGATGTGGGGATGCACCCCGCCCGCCGGCCCGTGTTCCACCAGTCACCGCGTGCCCCGGTCTGCCGGCAGATACTGAAACACACGGCCGTCGACCACCCGGACCGAGCCAACCTCGAGGAGGCGCTCAACCGCGCCGAGGAGCTCTGCAGACAGGTAACCGACGCCGACAGGGGTGTTACCCAGCCAGCTATCCCAAATGGGGCCCACATGGGCTGGAAGTGGGGCATCTGGGCGAATGTGGGCTGGGCTACATCTGAGTATGTAATGGGCGTCCAACTGGGTCCCAGATGGGCTAGATGTGCTAACTTTACGTGCTGGACTTGGCCAGCGCCTCCACTGTGCCGCTACCCTGCCTGATCTGTGCCGCTACCCTGCCAGACTCCTGATCTGACAGCCGCCTGGGCACACCCCTGCCCGCGTCCCTGCGAGGTCGCTGATGCCGTTTGGAGTCCCCCGCCTTCAAGTGGTGGACGGTGTGGGGCCTCGCCCCGACTCGGTGCGTGGACAGCGCCCGAGCCAGCCAAACGGGGGACAACCGCCCCTCCAGGGCGGATGCCGGTGGCCGACGCGCCACCGGCCGTCGTCTTCAGCTGCTCTACCTACCGGCTCGACACCCGACCGACTCGACCGACTCGACCGACTCGACCTCGGCAACACCTGCGGACCGGCCGCGCGCGCGCGGCTCGGTCCGCCTAACTAAGTGAACCCAGCGTCCCCCGCCATGAGCGCCGATGGCGGGGGCTCGACCGGGCGCGGCGCGCGAGGAGCCTGGGGGGGGGGGGGGCAGCAGGCGGGCCAAGAACAGGCGGTACCGTCTGAACCGTCGGAACAGAAGCCGACTACTCATCGCGAGTTGGAACGCGGAAGGACTACGCCCCAAGAGGGATGAGTTCCACCGCTGGCTCTCTGCCACTAAGACGGACGTTGCCGCTGTTCAGGAGGTCCAGCCGGCTGCCGGCCAGCCCATCACCATCCCGGGCTACCAGACGGCCGCGCTGGTCAGGAGGGCGCGCGGAAGGAGAGACGGAGGGCCGGCCAAAGGGGGAGGTGTGGCGATCTTCGTCCGAGACGGCCTCAACTATCAGACCATCGAGGACTCCCCTCTCCACCCGCAGGACGACACCACCGAATGGTGCGGCGTTCGGGTATTCGCCAGCCCGTCGCCCACTAGACCTCACACCAACCAAAGACCTTGTTCTGTTACTATTTATTGCATCTACCGCCCCCCAATCAGATCATCGGGGATTGACGAGAGAGTCGACCGATTCTCCCTGGACGGCTTCCCGTCTTCGCCGGACACCTTCATCCTGGGGGACGTGAACGGCCATCACCCGGACTGGGACGCGGCGTGCCTGGAACCCGACGACACCGGTGAGAAGATCGCGGGCTGGCTAGAACGCTCACGTTGGACAGCCCTCAACAACGGAGAGCCCACCCGCGCCGGCTACGGGACCGGGCCGCTGACTGCCCCAGACGTTGCGCTCTGCCACCAGAATCTGGCGCTGCGGAGCTCCTGGTCCATCGGCTCAGATCTCGGCAGTGATCACCTCCCCCAGGTGGTCCAGACCACGACGAGCGGCGCCCGCCCACGCCGCATCAGAAAGACCAGGTGGTCCTGGCAGAAGGCGGACTGGACACAGTTTACCAGCGGCTGCGAGGCGGCCTTCTCTGCCCTGCCTCCCGATCTACCGACAATCACCCTCGCCGAGAGAGTGGCAACCATCATCATGTCAGAGAGCACGCGGGCCATCCCCCGCGGCGCTCGCGCCGACCCGAAGCCCTGGGCCTGCGATCCTGAACTGATCGATGCGATCTCGGCAAGGCGAGCGGCACGGGCAGAGATGACTTCTAATCTCTGTCCTGCAACAAGAGAGAGGTGGAAAGCTGCGAAGAAGGCGGCCGCCGCAGCAGAGGAGTCGGCCAGAACCAGGACCTTCAGAGACTTTGTCTCCACGGAGCTGAACCGGCCCTCGAGTATCGGGCGCGTCTCCAAGATTCTCCGGAGGATGGAGGGCGCCGTACCCGAGTCCCGACCGGGACAGGCTATCAGCGGGGACTGTGGCAAACTTGCCATAGAGGACCGCGCGAAAGCCAACGCCTTCGTCAGGACCTATGCAGCGGTCAGCTAGCAGGTCCGCTGTCCGAAACGAGACCGGCCCGTGAAGAAGGAACTGGTATCCCTGAGGGACAACGGCTGCACATGCCTCGACACTAAGGAAGAGGCGTGCGCCCCCTTCAGCATGAAGGAGATGGAAGCCCAGATCCGGGTGCTGAAGTCCAGGAAAGCGCCCGGCCCGGACCAGGTGTGCACCGAGCACCTGCGGCATCTCGGCCCCACAGCCAAGGCCGTACTGCTGCGCCTGATAAACCAGACCTGGGCAGACGCCACCATACCAAGCGCGTGGCGGAGGGCCACCATCATCCCGATTCTGAAGACCGGCAAGAACCCACAGTCCGTGACGTCATACCGCCCGATAGCCCTCACCAGCCACGTGGCAAAACTGGCAGAACGGATGGTCGGCGCTCGACTCAGCCAGATCGCCGAAGCGAGGAACCTGATTCCTGCCGAACAGATGGGCTTCCGGCGCGGAAGATCGGTGGAGGAGAACCTCGGCCGCCTTGTGCAGACCGTACAGGACGGCTGGAACCGACCCCGCCCCGCCGGTCGCCCTACCGAGGGGAAGACGGCGGAGAAGTTCGCGCTGGTAGCGTATGACTTCAGTAGAGCCTATGACAAGATCGACCACCGCATACTACAACTTAAACTGCTTCGTCTCCAGCTCCCACTATGCATGGTAAACTGGATCTTCCAGTTCCTCCGTGACCGACGCGCCAGGGTGGAAGTGAACGGCTGCCTCAGCGAGGAGCGCCCCTTCAGAGCGGGCCTCCCTCAGGGTTCGGTCTTGGCACCGACCCTGTACACCCTGTGGTCGGCCGATCTGGTGAGCGACCTGAGGAGCGTCCCGGGTACCAGCGTATTCATGTACGCCGACGATACCGCCACACTGAGCGGTAGCTGCCGGATGGAGACGGCAAGAGAACGAGCCCAGATCGCAGCTGACACGATGGTCAGGTGGGCCAACAGGTGGAAGATGGTGATCGCCGGGGAGAAGACCCAGGCCCTGGTCCTCTCCCAGTGGTCCCATGACGCCAAGGACTTCCAGATCAAGGTGGCCGGAACATCGGTCAAAGGATCCCCGCACCTGAGACTCCTAGGAGTCACCTTCGACAGACTCCTCCACTTCGGGGAACACTGCAAGAACCTGCGCCGGAAAGTGAAGCCCAGGACGGCTCAGCTGAGGAAGCTGACTGGTCGCAGCTGGGACCTCCAGGAGGCGCAACTACGGACCGTTGCCAACGGATACGTTCGGGGCGCCCTGGAGTACGCGGCAGCAGCGTGGCTCCCGGCGGCGTCTGAAGCTCACGTCGAGCTGATCGAGCGGGAGCTGCGAGCGGCGGCCCGTGCGGTCACTGGCTGCACGGCCTCGACCCCGACCGCGCCGCTGATGGCCGTGGCCGGCATCCCGCCGGCGCGAGTACGATGCCCGGCGCTGGCCGCCCGCATGGTGGGCCTGGCCGCCTCGCTGCCCGGCGACGACCCGCTCCACGCCGTCGGGGAGATGCACGTCGCGCCCCGCCTGAGGACGACCACCGGATGGCGTGACGTCGGCCACCGCGCCCTGGCTTGGACAGGCGCGGCCGACGTCAAAGTGGAAGGACGCCCTACAAAGACTATCCCACCGTGGGACCACCATGGAGAAGCCGTGACGTTCTGCCTGGACGTCGGCCCCGGCGGCCAGAGAGCGGCCCCTGCGCACATACGGAGGGGAGCGGCAGAGGCCACATTGGAACATCTGCCGCCCCGCGCCACCTGGATATGGTCGGACGGCTCGGCGGAGGGAGGCGTCTCCCAAGGCGGGGGCGGTGCCACCATCACCTTCCCGTCGGGAGAGACTCGGGAGGTCCGAGTCCCAGCGGGCCAGCTCTGCTCCAGTACGCGGGCAGAGCTGTGTGCCCTGAAGGCGGCCCTGAACGCCATCCGAGACGTCGACGCCGACATCGCAGACGACCCAATAGTCATCTGCACCGACTCCCAGGCCGCCCTGAGGATGCTGGAGAGCGGCGCCCCCTCCCAGACGACTCACCTAGGGATCTCCATCTGGGAGGACCTACTCGCTCTCTCCCGCCGAGGGTCACCGATCCGCCTCCAGCGGGTCCCGGCGCACTGCGGCCTGCGGGAAAATGAGAGGGCCGATGAGCTGGCCAAGGAGGCCTCCGGCCTACCCCAGGAGGCAGCAGTAACAGACGTGAGGACGCTAACGAAGGCCGTCGCACGCTGCGCCTCCCACCGCTGGCGGCAGGAATGGCCGTCCAGCTTCTTCAAGGACATCATGCGGGACCGTATGCCGGCTCCTCTCAACAACCTCGACCGGGATGCCGCCGTCAACGTCCACCAGCGGCGGGCCGGGCACTGGGGTCGCTCGGAGCAGTATCTGCACCGTATCGGGCGGCGCCCCATCCCGACCTGCCAGCAGTGCAACCTCAAGGCGTGCCCCGCAGCCCGCTGCATCGTGTGCAGAGAGGGCGCCGACACCCCGGAGCATGTGTTGCTCAGGTGCCCGTGCCTGGCCGGCGCCCGCCTGCGACTGACGGGCAACATCCACATCCGACCAGAGCAGCTGAAGGACGGCGAGCTGGTGGCGGCCTTGGCCGCCGGCTACCTCCGCCACAAGGAGCCCCTCACGGGGTTACAGGCCGGCCCCAGCCGGCCCTGAGGGGAACAACAACAACAACAACAACAGGTCGCTGATACTGTGCCGCCGGTGTTCGTTGTGTGGTGGAGCGGCCGCGGGGCGGCCGCGCGCCGGCAGTTGGTGACTATAGATAGACGCAATACGGCGCTGACGGACCACTCGGGCCTCTACACTATCGTTACAAACTCTTCTCCTTTTTCACAATATGTAGGTACGCATCCACGCTTACGTTCTCTACCGGCCGCCGGCCGACTACTTGCAGTGGTAGCGTAGTGTAGTGGTTAGGGTCCGCGCATCATGTTCCATAGGTCTTGGGTTCGAATATCTGGGGATCTAGTGAGAGGCAAAGGGTACGCGGTTCTCCCACGTGTGACCACATTGCTCTTTGGGATTCACGCGGAAATATTGGACGACGTAAGCTAGGTACAGTCCACAGCAGAAGTAATGTGGGGTTTCAGTCATGGGTATGTTCTGCTTCTGAAGCTTAGGAACGATTAGCCAGACTACAATGAAACTTTGAATGTAGCTTATATGTATCGTCATTCGTCACCCTTGCAGCTGCAACTTTAGCTATTGACATCTTCTTTTCGATCACTCCGCATTAAACAATCGCCAGTCAAAGCTAACCGTTGAGATTGGTAAAGCCCTACATTACTTTAGCGGTGGGCTGTACCAAATCCCAATTAAATTTCATGTGCGCTTTTTGCATGTGTCCGTGTGAGTCCCAACTGGGATAGCCCGTGTGGGACCCATATATATCCCAGCTGGGTCCCATATGGGCCCCACTTGGGCTGCCCATGTGGGTCCCAACTGGGAAAGCCCATATGCGGGCTCAATACGGTACGGGCCCCAGATGGGTCCCACATGGGCCCCGTCTGGGTGCCCAGATGGGACCCAGTTGGACGCCCATGACATTCCCATCTGGGTCCAAGGTGGGCAGCCCAGATGGGTCTCAGTTTGGTGCCCACTTGGGGCCCATGTGGGCCCCACTTGGGAGGGCTGGCTGGGTACTGACTCCCCGGGACAGGTAACCGCCGCTGATATGTAGTCTGTAGTAGCCGCTGACGGGGGTGCTACAGACTCCCCGATACAGGGGTGCTACAGACTCCCCGATACAGGGGTGCTACAGACTCCCCGATACAGGGGTGCTACAGACTCCCCGATACAGGGGTGCTACAGACTCCCCGATACAGGGGTGCTACAGACTCCCCGATACAGGGGTGCTACAGACTCCCCGATACAGGGGTGCTACAGACTCCCCGATACAGGGGTGCTACAGACTCCCCGATACAGGGGTGCTACAGACTCCCCGATACAGGGGTGCTACAGACTCCCCGATACAGGGGTGCTACAGACTCCCCGATACAGGGGTGCTGCAGACTCCCCGATACAGGGGTGCTGCAGACTCCCCGATACAGGGGTGCTACAGACTCCCCGATACAGGGGTGCTACAGACTCCCCGATACAGGGGTGCTACAGACTCCCCGATACAGGGGTGCTACAGACTCCCCGATACAGGGGTGCTACAGACTCCCCGATACAGGGGTGCTACAGACTCCCCGATACAGGGGTGCTACAGACTCCCCGATACAGGGGTGCTACAGACTCCCCGATACAGGGGTGCTACAGACTCCCCGATACAGGGGTGCTACAGACTCCCCGATACAGGGGTGCTACAGACTCCCCGATACAGGGGTGCTACAGACTCCCCGATACAGGGGTGCTACAGACTCCCCGATACAGGGGTGCTACAGACTCCCCGATACAGGGGTGCTACAGACTCCCCGATACAGGGGTGCTGCAGACTCCCCGATACAGGGGTGCTGCAGACTCCCCGATACAGGGGTGCTGCAGACTCCCCGATACAGGGGTGCTGCAGACTCTCCGATACAGGGGTGCTACAGACTCCCCGATACAGGGGTGCTACAGACTCCCCGATACAGGGGTGCTACAGACTCCCCGATACAGGGGTGCTACAGACTCCCCGATACAGGGGTGCTACAGACTCCCCGATACAGGGGTGCTACAGACTCCCCGATACAGGGGTGCTACAGACTCCCCGATACAGGGGTGCTACAGACTCCCCGATACAGGGGTGCTACAGACTCCCCGATACAGGGGTGCTACAGACTCCCCGATACAGGGGTGCTACAGACTCCCCGATACAGGGGTGCTACAGACTCCCCGATACAGGGGTGCTACAGACTCCCCGATACAGGGGTGCTACAGACTCCCCGATACAGGGGTGCTACAGACTCCCCGATACAGGGGTGCTACAGACTCCCCGATACAGGGGTGCTACAGACTCCCCGATACAGGGGTGCTACAGACTCCCCGATACAGGGGTGCTACAGACTCCCCGATACAGGGGTGCTACAGACTCCCCGATACAGGGGTGCTACAGACTCCCCGATACAGGGGTGCTGCAGACTCCCCGATACAGGGGTGCTACAGACTCCCCGATACAGGGGTGCTGCAGACTCCCCGATACAGGGGTGCTGCAGCCTGCAGACTCGCCGCTGACAGGGGGTGCGACAGGGGAGTCCGTGTGACAGGTAATTATTGCAACATTACTAGACCACTGTAGCCCGACATAAGCGAGTAAAGGCTCGTCGCTCGGCCACTCTGGATCCCACACCCTTGTTGTCCAGGACTTGCCGGCGCGGCGCGGCGGCCACGGCGGCCAATTTCATCCCCCCCCCCCTCTGCCCCTGCCAGCTGACCGAGCCCCCCCCCCCCCCGTCAGCTGAACGAGGGTGTGCGCGAGCAGCAGAACACGGACCGATTGGAGTGGATGCAGGAACACGTGGACTGCTCTGAGCTGCCCGAGCGGATCGTCTTCAACTCGATGACCAACTCGGCCGGGCCGCGGCGCCTGCTCCACTTCGGCCTGCTGAAAAAGGTACCCGGGCGCGGCTACGGAGGGCGTGGTCCCGGGAAGCTGATTGGCACTATTGTGTGAGTGTGAGGGGTTCATTTGCATTTTTAAGCACCACCGAAGCCGCACCGATGGGGTGCTACACGGGAGGTAGCTGATAGCCGTTACGAAGTGTTGTACTGATGGTGCTGTGTTTTGCGTGCAGACGAAGAGCGGTCGGGAGGTGGTCGTGTTCCTGTTCAACGACTTTGTGCTGCTGACGACTCCCAGCCGGCCTCTGGGAAACGTCAGTCAGCTGGAGTTCGACCGCAACCTCTCCAACCTCCGGTTCAAACTGTACAAAAAGGTGGGTCGCCACTGACAACCAGCCAGTCCGGATGGACTGGCCGTCCTGTCGCAGAGACGGCGACTGCCGGCCGCGGTACAAATCGAAAACGGATTAGTCGATCCGCGACACGTAGGTGGGCCTCCATATTTTTCAGAGTAATGCCGATATCGCCACCAAACTTTCAGTACCTTTCCCACATGAGTTATAACTGTGCTGACCAAAACGAGCCCCGGATGTGATAGGTCGGTCAGCAATGACTGTCAAGAGTGGCGCCATGTTCTGCCATCACAGACGGCAGGAACTCTGCGGGACTTCTGTCTCACAAATATAGGATCGGTTAAGCTAGAAAAGGTGAAGAGTAATTGGGGGGGGGGGGGGGCTGACAAAATCATTAAGCTGATTGTTTTTTGTGTGTGAAAAAAGAGGAAACTTCAAAGTTCTTACAAAAAAATCATCAAAAATATACGATAAGAATTTACTTGGAACATGTCATAGATCAGCAAATGACAATCGTCCAGTTTACCAAATTTAGCTCAATATCTCAATTTTAACGCACCGATGGTGCCAAAAATATACCCGAAATTGCTGGCGTCTTTAGCTCGGCTGGCAGCCGCTCTGTAGCGGCTCTCACTGACTGCTGGCGGTCCCTCTGTCCGACAGCCGCTCTGTAGCGGCTCTCACTGACTGCTGGCGGTCCCTCTGTCCACTGACTGCAGTGACTGGCGGCCCCTCTGTCCGGCAGCCGTTCTGTAACGGCTCCCACTGACTGCTGGCAGCCCTCTGTCCGACAGCCGCTGTGTAGCGGCTCCCACTGACTGCACTGGCGGCCCCTCTGTCCACTGACTGCACTGACTGGCGGCCCCTCTGTCCACTGACTGTACTGACTGGCGGGCGGCGGCCCCTCTGTCCGGCAGCCGCTGTTCCTGGCCGAGCTGGAGGTGAGCGTGCCTCCGGAGTCGCCCGACGCTCTGCTGCTGACCGGCGCCGGTCTGGTGGTGTCGCTGACGGCCGGCGGCGGTGTGGCGCGCGACCTGTGGCTGCGCCAGCTGCGCGCCGCCCAGGAGTCGTACCGCGCCCTGGAGCGGACCCAGCTGCAGCGACAGCACTCGCGTACGTACCGCCCGCAGACACTGCACAGCGCCCGCAGCCGACCACAGCCTGTCAGCGCGGCTCGGGGGTAGTGGCTCTACGGGCGGTTTTTGAAGCTGCCATCACTGAATAGGGTCACCATTGCTATTAACCCGCGCCCCACTGGGGGGGGGCTATTTATAGCCCCCTCCCGTTTTTCTGCAATAACTTCCAAACCGCTTGACGTATCGACGCCAAACTTTCAGTTCCTTAGGCTGCATCAATTTGACACCTTGTGTCAAAATTTGAACTTCGTATATACTATAGGTCGGCCGGAAATGACGTCAGAGTGACGTCATGTTCGGCCGATTTCGACGCAAAACATTGAACCACGGCAATCGCTCCCAAGAGCTCAGTTTTTAAGCTAGATCTAATTTCTTTGCATGAGAGGACTCAGAATAGACTGCGCTATCAAACTGCTATCTCGGATTTTCGAAATTTTGAAAATTTGGAAAATTTAATATAATGAAATCCAAAATTAATATTTTTACATTTTTTTTCAAAAAGTTTTTGGCTTTTCGAAAAAAACGGAATATATGTGATAGAACGCATTATTATGACTAACTCTAGCAAGTTTTAGCTAAAGATCTTCAAAAATGGCCAAGTTTTACGCATTATTGCAAAAAATTCACAATTATCAATTTTTTTAAATCAATTTCTCAGCACGTATTTGACATCGTACGCCAATATAAATAGCACCATCGTGTTCCTGAGCTCAAACCGCATCCAATAGACACCTTTTTGTTGAAAAATTTCAACTTCAAAATTTGACCTTTTTTGACCTGAAAGTGACCTGACCTAAGCTAAATTCGACTCAAAATGACCTCCAATGACACAGACGACATCAAATTCGAAATCTCGGACCTAAATGGACCATAAAACAAGTGTCACGTGACCTACTCATGATATAATATTTTCGTGACCTGTGATGACCTGACCTTGACCTGAAAATCAAAGTACAAGTTTGGTACCCTCAGGGTATCTAGAGCATCTGTTCATGAGTGTGTGATCCAAAAATGAGCCTGATCTGACTTGTAAGACGGCGGCCAGAGCCCAAAACGTGAACAAGCCAAAATGCTAATAATTTTTACTTTGACCTGACCTGTGACGTCATCGGTGACCTCGAGGTCAATGAAATTAGGTTTTGCTCGGCAGTTTTTCCGGGGCTATCAGACGCCGTTTGAATTTTGACGATCGGCCCAGTAGTTTCGGAGTTAGGAGGGGGGGGGGGCTATGAATATTGAATAGCCCCCCCCCCCCCCAGTAGGGCGTGTTATACGCAGACCCCAGTGGGGCGCGGGTTAAGCACGGCACGCGCGGCTGAGAGCCGATTCAAATGTCTCAGCCGCCGTGTACACTGTTCAGGGTCTTGGAGAGCATCACCTACCTCTGATCGTAATGTATTGTGTGCTTGCCGTATGTGATCGCAAACTCTCCGATCACCCAACGAGTACGTTAGCAATTGCTTGTATCAGCCATGATCATACACTGTTAGGGCCGCATTTCGAGCTATTTCTCTCAGAATTGGGTACCTTTATATTGCTGGGTGGCGGGAGGAGGAGTGTTAACCCTCGCACGACCAGGCCATTTCTCATAACACGAACGACCAGGTGGGGGGTTGTTACGACCCCCCCCCCCCCTGGCGTTTCGAAACGGAAGGTCGTAGAGCTTAGCGGAAAAAACCAACGGATTGCTCTCAACGAGATCTCGCGATTGGTGGTATATTTTTTTGGCCCTAGGTCAACATTTGACCTACTTATGACCGGTCAAAGGTCAAATTTTCCGAAAAAATCAAACTTTTCAACTTTCCGCGGCGATTGCGGCAAAACGGTGGGAGATATCGACTTGAAACCTTCACTATCGTGTTCCTTGATCAATTCTCTATCGTTTGGTATGTATTTCGTTTCCCTAGCTCTAAAAATGGCGCGTTGGGAGCGCCGGAAGTCGGCAAGGTCACAGTCGGCGGCAGAAATTCGAAAAATCAAAATTTAAATTTTTGAAATCTGATTGTATTTTTGGATTTGGGAGGTCCATTTGCTCCCTATAGAAGCTAATATTGCTGCATATTCCCATTGAGGTGACAAGAATTAGCAAAATAGTGGTTCGGGCGCTTTTCAAAAATAGTACCGGACGCTGTTCCTCTTGTGACGTCATAGCTCCGTGACCTGACCTGACCCGGTCAATTTTCTTGCACCACACGATAGCCAATGCTTGCCCCAACATGCATGGGAAGTTTCATCATGATCCATCAAACAATGTGGGTATCACCGGCAGAAAACCTAGGGATTCGGCGCACACGTTTGGTAACTGTCGGCCGGAGGCTGTACCTCTTATGACGTCATAACTCCGTGACCTGACATGACCCGATCAATTTTTTTCGGCAAAAGATGCACAAAGGTTGCCCCAGAGGGTATCGAAAATTTCAGCCCGCTACGACAAGCCGTTTAGCGTGCACTTCGAAAAAAACCTCAGGGGGGGGGGTTGATACAACCCCCCCCCCCCCCTAGGCGTTCTAGGGTTAAAAGGGGTCTCCGTTGTCGTAGTTGGAACGATCGTACGTACACTCGGGGGCAGATTGATGTTCCACCACTCCCCACCCATCGGGCTCCCATGGCTCAGCACTGGCTGCTGCCAGTGTTGCCTGCCCTCAGCACTGGTCAGCACTGCCTGCCAGTGCCAGTGCTGCCAGTGCTGCCACTGGCAGCAGCCAGTGCTGAGCCATGGGAGCCCGATAGGTAGGGAGTGGTGGAACATCAATCTGCCCCCGAGTGTACATTGTGAACCCCGCAGCCCTGGACACGCTGTGTAGCTGGTGTCTGTGCTGGGTTATTGCCACGTGGCCCGGTCGGTGGGAGCTCTTTTGTGCTCCGTACGTACCGTTCTTCATCTCAGGGGGTTTCTCTCTGATGTGGTGCGTTGCAGGGTCCGTGTATGAGTGTACGGCCCTCCAGATATTAAGTGGTTGGTTGCCAACATCACAATAAGCCATCTGCATTGATAAATACGTCTAATGGCTGTTGAAAACCATTGCCGAAGTGTGTGCACGAACCCTCTTCCCATTTCTATTGAGTCATTTAAAGGAGTGTCTCTGTCATTCCAGCTATTACACCAAAAGCACATAGGCTAACCTACCACTCTTTTGCTGGAGGGCCGTACACCGCTCTCTCTGACCCGGCGGGGGTCCCTGTACGCGCCGCTCTGACCCGGGCGGGGTCCCTGTACCTCTGACCCGCCGTATCCGTGTACGCGCCGCTCTGACCCGACGGTACCCTGTACATCCCCCTGACCCGGGCGGTACCCTGTACGTCCCTCTGACCCGGCGGTACCCTTGTACCTCTGACCCGGCGGTATCCCTGTACACGCCGCTCTGACCCGGCGGTATTCGTGTACGCGCCGCTGTGACCCCGACAGGCGAGGCCAAGTTCGCGGCGTGCGGCCGTCTGCTGGTGGTGATTATGTCGGCTAACCGGCTGGTAGCCGCCTCTGCTGACGGTGAGCTCCGCCACCACCCGGGCACGGCACGGCTGAGCACGGCACGGCACGGCTGAGCACGGGCACGGCACGGCACGGGCGCGGCACGGCACGGGCATGGTGTGACCGCAGTGCGGGCTCGGCTGAGCTGTTCGCACTGTGCGTGTGCGTGTGCGTGTGTGCGGCCCGTTTGCAGGTGTCGGTGAGGCGAGCTGCATGCGGCGGGGGCCGGTGGCGGGGACGGAGGGGGAGGGGAAGGGGAGGGCTCATGCGCCGCCTGCTGACCGCATGTTCTCTCCCTAGTGCGTGCCAGGCCGAAGGGACGCTTGCTAGTCACTGTGTTTCGCGCCCTGCGGCTGGAGGCTACGGACAGAAACGGTAACTACTGCCCACTGGCTGATACGGGCCGCAGCTTTCTCTATCCGCTGGCCCTGTGCACTGGCTCGGTACACCGCCTCAGCTGATTGGTCACGGGGCTAATTATACTTAACATCACTTTTGAAACACATTTAGCTGTCAATAGATTTTCTGCGAGGGGGCATGAAGTTAAATAAGGTCGTTTTTGAAATATTACTAGTCTGACAAACTTACGAAAGAACGGAGTTATAGCGCCGGAATAACTCTGCACGTGCTTTGATCGCTGATCGCTGGGATGTACGGTTCGTAGAAAATTTGTGCGAAAATCCGTGAAATGTTCTCAGATATATTTGAGGCAACATAAAGGCACGCGCAACAATGATGGTTGCGCTTTAAATCAGTTCTTAGGTTCGGTACCGGGAAGGGGGGGGGGTGTATGTGCCGGCCGGACCGCCCGGCAGTACCGCTGACCAGTACCGGCACGGGTACAGCCGGGCGGGGGTGTATGTACTGGCTGAACCGCCCGGCGGTACCGCTGCTAAGTACCGGTACGGGTACAGCTGGGCGGAAGTGTATGTACTGGCCGGACCGCCCGGCAGTACCGCTGCCCGCTGAGCCCGCCCTGACGGCGGCCCCGCCCCCCCCCCCCCGCAGGCAAGAGCGACCCGTACTGCGAGCTGACCATGGGCAGCCAGGTGCAGCGCACGCCCGTCGTCGAGGGCACGCTCAACCCGCGCTGGAACCACAGCATGCAGTTCCTGGTCAAAGACGTGCGAGACGACGTGCTCTGCATCTCGGTGTTCGACCGCGACTACTTCTCACCGAACGGTCAGTACTTCTCACCGAACGGTCAGTACTTCTCACCGAACGGTCATTACTTCTCACCGAACGGTTAGTACTTCTCACCGAACGGTCAGTACTTCTCACCGAACGGTTAGTACTTCTCACCGAACGGTGGGTGACCGGGGGACCACTCAATGAAAAGTGAGTAGGTACACTCGAGGCAGATTGATGTTCCACCACTCCCATCTGCCACTGGCAGCAGCCAGTGCTGAGCCATGGGAGCCCGATAGGTAGGGAGTGGTGGAACATCAATCTGCCCCCGAGTGTACTTCTCACCGAACGGTGGATGGCCGTCGGCCGGGGAGACCTCTCACCGAACGGCTAGTACTTCTCACCCTCACCGAACGGTTAGTTCTTCTCACCCTCACCGAACGGTCAGTGGAATGTTCTGATGTCCCCCCGACAGAGTTCCTGTAGTATGCCCTATGACGCCCCCACCCCCCACCCACGCATACCCGCCCCGGTAGGGTTCCTGTGCTGTCCCCTCTGACGCCCCCCGCCCCCCCCCCCCTTGCAGAGTTTCTGGGTCGGACCGAGCTGCGCGTGGCCGATGTCCACGGAGACAACCAGCGCTACCGCGGACCCATCATCAAACGCCTGCCGCTGCACGAGGTCAAACGCGGCGAGGTCGATCTCAAGCTGGACCTGCAGATTTTCGACCAGCCCCAGTAGCGCCCCTGGCGGCCGGCGGCGCAAGCTCGGCGGCGGCGCCCGCGGACCACGCTGGGTGTCTCGCCGCGGCGCGGGAAGGTTGGATCTTGCCACTCGGTTGTTAGCGTTGTAGCTGTTGGTGTTTTCTGATGGCAGTGTTTGTGTCTTTATGTACCCCGGCTGCTCGTGATGCTGAGCAGACCCTCGGTTACCGGACGGCGCGACTCGTGTCTCACCGAGAGCTCGGCATATTGTTCCTGTATGCGAGCTTGCCTACCCATGGTTGTTATTGAGCCTCCGCTTTCGACTTTTTTCGTAAATGGCACATCGACGATTACCTGCTACCTGATGATGACGTATTTAAGGTGGTGTTTCAGGGCTCAGGCCAAACTTTCACAGAGAATGTAACGAGAGGGGGTCGGGCCGGGTCGGGTCGGGGAGCTAGTCAGCCAGACTGTGCGGAGGGTGTACGGAGGGGGGGGGGGGACCGGAGCACACATTCCCGCTGGAGGCACGCCGCTCGGTGGACCACGGGCAGACACTGCGGACCGCCGGCCGTCCCTCAGATGGCAGCGGCCGGCGCCGGGCATCCCCAGCGCCTCCCCGCTACCGCGCCGCCCAGCGCACAGACACGGCGCTGTGACAGCAGGAGCTGCCGGCTGGGCGCACCTCGCCGGCTCCGAATGGGCCGGGACGACTCAGAGTATGTACCGGTGTGTACGGGGCCGGGACGACTCAGAGTATGTACCGGTGTGTACGGGGCCGGGACGATGTCAGAGTGTGTACCGGTGTGTACTGGGTAGTGTGTGCGGGGCCGGGACGATGTCAGAGTGTGTACCGGTCGGGTCAGCCACGTGACGAGCTGTACCACCGGGAGCTGCAGCTTGGTTCAAAACCAGAGATTCGCTGTATGTGTATCCGAGCTATATCAATAAATGTCCCGCAAACTGTTGCGCTTTCCGTCAAGTGTATTCATTTGTGCATGAAAGCGGATGTGACTGGAAGTCCTAACACCGTGAGCTCATACAAACCCTTACAGGATACAGTAAAAAATGTCTTCAAACACGGTCACATGACTGTTAAGGCTGAGCATGTGTGTAAATATGCGCGCTCCTAACGAAACATCTCGCTCCAGTGACCCAACGTCAGAGTATATCATTCACAGTAGGTATCCCGTGCACCATACAGCGCGGTACGTGGTGCGCGCCGCGCCCTGACAGCAGTCCCCAGACACGTACACACAAACTGGCCACATATTGCTCGGCCGCCTGGCGCCGGGATAGAGGACCCCGGTAGCCGGACGGGCGGTCCGGACAGCGGCCGGCCTCCGCCCAAATCCTCAGCCGCCCACTCTGTCCTCAAAGAGCTGCTCGAACGCCGTGTGCACGTGCTGCAGCATGTCGCTGGCCAGCATGCTGCGGCCGTGCCGCTCGAACGCCAGCCGGGAGGCACGCCGGGTGAGGGCGCACGCGCCGTAGGCGGCCAGCAGTCGGGCGTCCACGGCCAGCGGCTGGTTGGTGGTCTTGGTCCAGTGGAGCAGCGTGGCCAGCGCGCCGGCCAGCAGGTCGCCCTGGCCGCCGCAGCGGCGCAGACTGCCCGGCTCCGAGCACCACAGCGCCGTGTCGCCGCACACCACCGCGTCGTCGCGGCCCTTCCGCACGATGGCCACGTCGCCGAGCTCGCGCGACAGGGCGCGCACGTGCTGCTCGCCGTAGTGCGCCACGGCCAGCTCCTCGTGCAGCACGGCCTTGTAGAGGCGGCCGAACTCTGCCGCGTTGGGCGTCAGCACGGCGCTGTGGTAGCCGCGCACCAAGTCCGGTGCCTGCGCCACCAGCCACAGCGCGTCCGCGTCGAACACCATCGGCAGCTCGAGCGGCCGCAGCGCCTCCACCAGGCGCTGCACCGTGTCCAGCGTGCGCCGGTCGCGGCCCAGGCCGGGCCCCACCACCAGCGAGCACAGCCGCGGCGCCCACTCGCGTATCTGAGCCACGGCGTCGGGCGCGTCCAGCACCGGGTGCACGATCACGTCCGGGCCGTACGCCTTGATGGCGGCGGCCGCGTCGCGCGGGCAGAACACGTGGGCCAGGTCGGCGCCCGTCCGCATGGCCGTGATGGCGGCGAAGTAGGGCGCGCCCGTGTACTCTGCGCTGCCGCCCAGGACGCCCACGCGCCCCGCCTGGCCCTTGTGCTGCTGGGCGCGCAGCCGCGGCACCACGGCGCGCAGCGAGCGCAGCAGCTCCCCGGCGCCGGCCATCTCTGTCGGCACGTCCGTCATGGCGCCGCGGTCACCACGGCGCACTGCCGGAGGCACCGCGCGCACACACGTCACTGCGGGAGCCAAGGCACACTCACATATTCACAGAGGGAGGAACGTCACGCGCACATCACTGCGGGAGGCACGGCGGACACGTCACAGAGAGGCAAGGCACACAGGTCAGCACCACACAACATGACAAGGGTTTCACAAGGTAAACTGAAACCCTACCGACTAGATACTGTACACAACCTGCCCACTCTGAAACCCTCTCCTGATTAGTGTGACAACCTGGTGGAACAAAACAGAGAGAAAGAGGTAACAGCCCAATAAGAACCATGAAAAATGCAATGGCAGGACAGACATCCTGCAACTATTTTCTAAAGAAACCCATGGAGTATGGAAATAGAGATGGTAAAGGTTGGTGTAGTGCACTATTGGAGCTCTACACCCTCACTCTGGATCAGGTGTGCCCACTGCCCCCCCCCCCGGCCCCATCCCAAAATACCTTCCGCCGCCTCTGAGCCAGGCTAAGTCAGTAAGGGGACCGGCCGTGCTCGACTGTGTGCACGTTAAACTTTGAACTATAAATTCTGCCATAGAACTGGGACTGCGCAATCGGAGGGTAGAGGGCAGGGTTACCGCAACAAGCTTTGCTTAGAGTGGCTCTGCCCTTGTGAATCCTCCCCATCATAAGGTTCGGACTAAATTTATAACAAAAAGGCATCAGGCATTGGCCTATGACTAAAAAAAACAAATAAATTCCGTCACTTCACAATGCTTTAAGATTAATTAATCAAAGGAGCATTGCGAGCATTTACCGACGGAACAATAAAAATACTAAATTCAAGACAATTGCCATAAACCCTTGAAAATTTGCAGAGCACCCACCTAACTCCCCACACCGGCACCAGGTAGGCCACTATATTATATGGCCTTGGGTAGGCCGCCTTCGGTTAGGCAGAGGGTTAGGTCGTTAGGCCCAAGGGTTAGGCCCGTTAGGCATACAGTTTGGGGAGCAACGGGAGCAAGGCCCACAGTTTGACCACGTTGAGTTGTGTTTATTGTTGCAATGTAATTGTGAGCTGCGACGTCATTGGTACTCGAAGGTGGAATGACGCAGTAATTTTTAGACTCAAAGTAATTAGATTGAAAAATCGTAAGTTAGGAATATTCAATTGACCACGTCGCCTTTTTTGAAGGGCAGCGGTGCATAGAGAGATCCGTACCTACATAAGATCTCTAATCTCTATGCAGCGGTGTGCTTCAATAGATAAATCTGAAGACGTCATTTGTAAGATATTTTCCTTTCACTTGTAAATTTGAGCCCGAATCATTCGCTGTTTTACGAGCAGTCTGCTGATTCTGCCACTGGTATATGTTGGCATCTCATTGGCGAATAGCAAACATTGTGTTAGCTCCAATGTTAATTCCACCAATGAGAAGCCGAAACCGGTAGCGTGCTGATTGAAGAAAATAGTCACCAAGCAGCGCTCCATATTTGATTTTTGGGGTGCGGCGATCGAGGTACGTGCGATTTTCATCGATATTTTCAAGATATTTTATGAATTTGTCGCTGTTAAGTGTTTTTTTACTGTATTAATAGTATGCAGTGCGTTTTGTATTCATTTATTGTATTTACACCCAGTTTTGTGTCCTACAAGGAGCTGGACAAGCTATCGGTAAAGCTGGCGCGTCAACCTAAGCAGATTTCATGGATAATTTTTTTCATATTGTTACGTTATTTGACATCCTGAATCCAAAAATAATACTTATATGTCTCGCAAATAAAAGAAAAAACATAATCAAACCTGACCTAACCTTACCTACTTACCTATAACCTACCAACCTCAACCTACAACCTACAAACCTACAACCTAACAACCTAAAACCTACAAACCTACCTACCTACAACCTACAAACCTACAACCTAACCTAACCTAAAACCTAAAATTTTTGCTGTAACATATTCACGCCAAGATTGTAGTTAGGACCTAAACTTAGCATATACCGCTAGCGTCACCGTCCCGTCGGCGGTAGGTAGGTAGGTTGGGTTGTAGGATGGTAGGCTGTAGGGGTCGGAGAGGCGCCTGACGGCTACGCGCCCTAATCCACGAAGAAGAAGAAGAAGGTGTAGGGGTTTATACAGCCTTGGCTGTTGGCTAGTAGGTAAGGTTAGGCGAGGTTAGATTGTGTTTTTTACTCTGACTTCATTTACACATTAACGGTTAGCAGCGGCCAGCGATGGTGACCCCAGCTTTACCGATACCGACAAGCCAAAGTGCAACAATGAAAATTGAAATGTGTGTGGCATGATGTGACATAACTGTGGTTATTGTGGGCCGTGGGGGAAATTAGGGTATTAGTATATATTAGGTCCGAGTGGCGAACCGATTATGAAAAGCACACTATATGATGTATTTTGACCTCCTTATTTCATATCTGATAGTTATTCATTCTGGAATCAAGCATCAAAGCACCTATGAACAGTGCTGGAAATGAGGCCGCTTTCTGGTCCCGGCGTTTTATTCTCCGGGTGAGTTAGCCCCGTCTAGCGCTTAGCCGTGTGCAATGAAATGGCTGTGCTAGACATGCTTCAGCCTCTGCATACTAATGCAAAATGTTGGCTCTGCAGGAAGATTTGTATTTTTCATGAAGCTACCTCTCCTTACACATTTCGCCACTGGCTTATACATATTTCCTGTTCGCTCATCGCTGATTCCATGCGCTGTTGAAAAAATAGCTTTGTTATGCAAATACAGAAGCAACGTGTACCAATCCAAATCCAATCGCCTTTTTTCTTCCACCCGTATTATCGCATAGGAGATGAACTGAGTCGGAGCCGGAGCCGCCGGAGCCGGACCATTTTACTCGGAGTTGGAGAGGATTTTTCCTCCGGAGCCGGAGCCGTCTGCAATTTCCACGGCTCCGCATCCCTGGTTCTAACCTTTTGAATGGAAGGATTCACAAGGACAGAGCCCCCGCTAGGCGAGGCTTGTTGCATTGACCCTGCCCTCTACCCTCCGATCGCGCATTCCGACTCTATGACAGAATTTGGAATCCAAAGTTTAATGGGCGCACATAGCCGCGCACGGCCGGTCCCCTCACTGACTTCGCCTGGCTACGACCTGCCACCAACGGCAACCATACCTGTCAGGAGGCTCATAAACGTCATGCGCCCATCGTGCTTCGAACCCGGGTCCCGGACTGTTATAACCGGGAACGCGTACTCTCACCACGCGGAGTCCAACGCTCTACCGATTGAGCTACGGGACCGGCTGGGATGATGTTGATGTATCTCCTCAGAAAGTGGAAGGAAAGCTGGTGTCCCTCAAGACTACCAGCTCGCCAGGGCCTGACGCCATACACCCACGAATCCTTCGCGAGTCGGCACAGGCCCTCTCCACCCCTCTGAGCATACTGTACTGCAAGTCTTTAGACTCTGGGTCGCTTCCTTTGGACTGGAAGACAGGTGAGATCACCCCAATCTTCAAGAAGGAAGACCGCCAACGCCACTCGAGCTATCGACCAATCACTCTGACTGCCATCCCTGTCAAGGTCCTTGAATCTATTGTCCCAGACGCTCTCCTCCAACATTTCCGCGAAAACAGCCTGTTCACCAGCGCCCAGCACGACTTCCTCCCAAAGAGGTCGTGTACGACGCAACTGATGGAGGCAGTCGAGGGCTGGAGCACCGCCATCGAAAACGGAGACAACATCGACATCATCTACCTGGACTCCGCCAAGGCCTTTGACTCTGTGCCGCACCAACGTTTGATCCGCAAGCTGTTCGCATACGGCATCCGGGGCCCGCTTCTCAACTGGATCGCAGCCTGTCTGATCGATCGCCGACAGAGGGCTGTGGTCCATGGATGCAAGTCCTCATGGCCCCCGTGACCAGTGGCGTTCCACAGGAATCGGTTCTCGGACCTGTGCTGTTCACGGTCTTCGCTAACGATCTCCCTCGGAAGTCATCGGATCGGTCTAAATGTTCGCCGAGTGCCGACGACACCAAACTATACCGCCGTGTCAGGGCAGTAGCAATGACCTCCAGGCTGACATTGATGCACTCACTGGTTGGTCTGAGAAGTGGCTGCTCCCTTTCAACGCCCAAAAATGCAAGGCGATGCACCTCGGCCCCCGAAACCCCGAGCACGCTTGCTTCTTTAACGGTTTCCTGATCCAGAACGCTGAAGAGGAGAAAGACCTCGGCATCGAAATCGACAACCAGCTCAAATTCCATAAGCAGACCGCGTCAGGCGTCGCAAAAGCCTCACATATTCTGGCCGTTGTGAGAGCTCATTCGTCAACATTGACGAGCACACGGTGCCGCTTCTCTACAAGACCATGGTTCCGCCCCTCCCAGAATATGGCAACACAATCTGGGGACCTTTTGGGAAAGAGGACCAGAAAAGACTCGAACGCGTGCAACGACGTGCAACGAGAATGGTCGCACAAATCAAGCACCTCCCGTACCCTGAAAGACTCCGTCGATTGGGACCGTCATCACTTCTACTGGAAACGGAGAGACGACATGGTGACCGTATATCAGCTGCTGCACAGAGGGTTGGCCTTGTCGCCAGAAGCCTTCCTGACCTGGAACAACTCAACTCGAACCAGGGGCCACCAGTGGATGCTCGAGAAACCCAGGGCCACCAAACTCGTGCGCAGAAATGCGTTCAGCTTCTGGGTCATAAACGACTGGAACTCCCTTCCGAGTGCAGTGGTCATGGCACAGTCCGTAAACCAGTTCAAGGCCCGGCTGGACAAACACTGGGGCGGCATTATGTTCGACGGCCCCTATCCCTGAGAGCCCAGTCTGTGTCCCGATACGAGCTTGATGAGAGCGGGATCCCCAGGCCAAGTGGCCTTTTTCAATCCCGATCACCACAAAGGTAAGGTAAGGTACCGTGATTACTGGATATTTTGGATGCGTTAAAATCAGTTATTCATTACAGAGGCTGGAAAGTCTAGGTACAGGATTTCAGGTGTCGGGGCATAAACTTGTGTAAGGAGAACAAAATCTTTTGGACCCGACTGCGACCAGCAAAGGGTGGCAGGGTCTTATTTCCCCAATATTGGGTCAAACCCCCCCCCCCCCCCCCGGTCCGGTGCGAGTGGCGCCGGCGCGCGTGAACGGTGTTTTTCTCTCATTTTCAGAATCGAAAGTTTCATCCGCGTTCACTTTTTGAGATTTCATGGAATGATGGACGAAGAATGCAAAGAAGCAGCCGACGCAGCCATCATACCAATATTGCCTGCGTGCTGCTTGATCTGTAATTCTCCAGATGCAACAACTAATGTGAACAACACCGTTATACAGGCCACAGGTATGTATTACTAGCGACATAGCACATTTTTTTTGGCAACCAGGTATGCGAGTGCCTACTGCCCATATGATTTTATTTCACAATATTTATACTGACACCTGGGAAATGTAACGTTTTTTCTGTTAATTGGTGTTAATCATTTATTTTGCGGTGATATTGGAATTCTAATCACACCCTATATTGTCATCGTGTTCTCACCAGCTGACCGGGCGCTGGTTCCTCTGAGTTAGTGTTTGCGCTATCCGTCCGTGTGCTGACCGGCAGGGTCTGCCCTCGCTGAGCTGGTGCGGCTGCTGGTGCCCGACGGACGCGACGAGCTGCAGCTGCTGCCCGCCATCTGCGCCAGCTGTACCGCCTTCGTCACCGAGTATGACGAGCTCCGCTCCAGGCAGCGCGACATTGAGCTCTACGTGCGTCAACAGTACGCGGCCAGCCAGGCGGCGCGGGCGGCGCTGGAGGTGGTCATAGAGCTGGGCGACAACCGCGTGTCGGTGCCGTACGGCGTGTACCGCGAGCACCGCGCCGCCGCCGCCGAGCAGCCGCCGCCGGCCGAGGCCGCCGCGGCGCCGGAGCAGCCGCCGGCCGCCGCCGCCGCCACCGCCACCGAGGCACCGCCGCCACCGGTCACACCGCCGCCGGCCGCACCGCGGCTGGAGCAGCAGCTGACTGAGCTGGACCTCGAGATCCACGTGGAGAGCGGCCGACAGTGCCACGTTTGTGATGCGAGGTTCCAGCTGTTCGGAGAGCTCGCTGTCCATCTGCGCGACGTGCACCACCTGAGCGGCAGCGAGATCCGCGCCGTGCGCAGCCGCTCCTCGGCGGCGCCGGCCGCCGCGCCGGCCCGGCCCGTGCCCTGCCCACTGTGCGCCGACCGCCAGTTCAGCTCGGCGGAGCGGGCGCGCGCGCACCTGGTGCAGCGGCACCGGCGCCAGCTGGAGGCCGGCGTACAGCTGCCGGCCGAGCTGGCCGTGCACCTATGCCGCCACTGCGGCGCCGCCTTCCGCCGCGCAGACATGTGCCGCAAACACGAGGCCACGCACCGCGCCAGAGCCAGCGCGCACGCCTGCGAGCTGTGCGGAAAGACACTGCGCTACCGGCACGGTCTGAAGCGGCATCTGCAGAGTCAGCACGGCCTGCCGGCGGAGCACCCGGCCGTGGCGCGCGCCGCCGCGCCGGCCGACCGGCACCCGTGCGACCGCTGCCCGCGCGTGTTCGCCGACTTCGGTCAGTACCTGTTCCACTGCCGCAGCGAGCACCTGGACGAGCCGGACGTCGGCTTCACGTGCGAGCTGTGCGACCGCCGGTTCGAGAAGCGCTCCGAGCTGCGGCTGCACCGCGACGCGCACCGCGAGACCAGCTACTCGTGCGTCACTTGCGAGAAACACTTTCGCACGCGACTGGCCTACCAGAAACACATGCGCACGCACGAGGGCGGCGGCGTAGCGTGCCAGCACTGCGGCAAGGTGTTCGACACCCGCTCCAACCTGGCCACCCACCTGCAGACGCACTCTGCGCGCCGCCAGCACGTGTGCGCTGACTGCGGCGCCGCCTTCAAGTTCGGCCAGACGCTGGCGCGCCACCGGGCCGTGCGCCACGGCAGCGGCACGCCGCGCTTCGTCTGCGACATCTGCGGCAAGGCGTTCCCGCTGGAGCACAGTCTGAACCTGCACCGCAGCCGGCACGGGCCGGCCACGCTGTCGTGCCCGCGCTGTCCGGCCCAGTTCACCAACCGGCCCGACCTGCGCCGCCACGTGCGCCGGCTGCACACGGCGCCGGCGGCCGACCCGCTGCAGCGCGCGCTGCTGGCGCTCACCGAGGACGAGACCGGCACGGACGCGGCGGCCGGCGGCCGGCCGCTCTGACAGCGCGTCAACACGACCGCCAGAGCAGCCGGCGCTTCCCGTTCTCACCCGTCAGGTCAGTTGGCTCTTATAATTATCTCCATTGTGATCGATGTCTTTCATTTGTTCCGACTTTTTAAACGGGGCAAAATTATTCGAACAACCAAAATGACCACTTCTAGCACCAAATCATACATCCCTTCCACCAGATTTGACGGCAAGCCAGATTGGACTGGTACATCTCCAAAAAGGACAATCTGCCACCAAAACGACGACCCACCACCAGAGATGCCAGATCAGATCTAGTATTACATAAAAACTAAAAGCACCAAAGATTAGATCGAGGCCGCTAAAAACGAAGTATTTACAAAACATTGGTGAAAGAGACGAATGACTTGCTTGATCATTAGTCGCGTTTACATAGCATTTTTGACGAGGCTCTAGCTCATTTATGTTGCGATAATTTTGAAGCAGTTATGTTCGTATATTTACTATTTAGAGGGGATAATTTTGTAAATTGTAAAGCACCATTGGCATCTTTTGCAACATGACTCAGTAGCGGCGGAACATTCTCAATTAACCCTATTCCTGGCGGGCTCCGCCGGGACAAGAAACTGGCGGGGGGGGCCGATTCGGCCCCCCCCCCCCTCAGATCTAAAAAATTACACATTGCAGCGACAAACGGCAAACGGCGTTTGATAGGTCGTTTAAAGATCTACAACTTTCACATAAAACATTTTCAGGACAGGTCAATATTGAGGTCACCAGAGGTCATCAACGATAAAATGTTTTGGAATTAGTTACCTATATAACTTTTAAACTAAGAAACATAGAGACATAAAACCAATACATTTTTTGTTGCGCTCGCCGAGGCGATGCGAAATAAGTATGTGATGACCTTCAGGGGTCAATTTGAAATTTGACCTGAGGTCAAGGTCAGGTCATCCATCAATGAGGTTGTGGGGTATGGTCATGCTGCATACCAAACGACGCGCCTTGACCAGGCGAGCAGCTTGGTACCACTTACAAGTCTTTAGCACCATCATGTCGTGATTTATTGACAGAAAAACGATTTATGACGTCACATGACCTCAGATGACCTTTGCCGGTACCCCTGTCAATTAGCGGCGCCAGGATCATCACCGATGAGATAATCTTCCATAATACTGAAAGAATTGGGTGGTTTTGACTCGTTTTACACGAAGCAGGAGGCGTTTCAATATTTTCCCATAGGCTTGTAATTTTTTAAAGGTCACGAGTCTGGCCTGACCTCAGGTCACAGATATGAAAATTCTGAGATATACAAATTGCACATACTGGTACCCTAACTAAAACCTGAAGAGAAGAAATTGATTGGTCAAAAACTCTAGCTCTGGCGTGATTGCAAACTTTTCTGAGGTGGGGTCACCAAACCGCCTCTGGTGACCTGACCTGACCTGACCCGGCAACTTTTTTTGTCAAAATGTGCGCAATGAATGTTTAGAAAAAGTCACCGAGTATGAGCTTTCAGTCTTGCGGCGTTTGGCGATGGCACAAGAAAACCCTGAAGGGGGACCTTAAAGGCCCCCCCCCCCCGCCAGGAATAGGGTTAATTTCCATGCAACGCCCATAGGGCTAATGTTAAAATGCCAAAATTAAAGGGGGCACGGTGCCCCGGTGCCCTCCCCGTTCCGCCGCGTATGACATGACGGAAGGAGCTATAAGCTTGCTACAATCCCTATGTAAACGGGGCTATTGTAGTGTACAGTCCAAGGCCGTATATAGAAGGTAAAATCATCCGGCGATTTGTTTACTTTTGCTCAGCTGACGAAATGACGTCATTCGTCGTCACCGTAAAACGCGATACGCTTCCATGCAGGCGCCAGGTCGTTATGTTATTAGCGCATCGATAGAGTTCGACGAGTTAAGAATGACTCGTGTAAGTTATTTACGTACTTTTCCAATCTTTTTTTTTTTGTCGTTTCCAAGGAATTCCTGTCTATAATTTGGGAATTGTCGCAAATAATGTCGCCGTTTCGGTTCCGCTCCCACAGCATGTTCCGGTCCCGCTGGGCGCTGCTATGTCGTACAGTGCCGGTCTCTCCTGTGTCCCGTGTCTGCCGTTAAATCCTGCTCCTAGTCTCCCCGCATTGGCCGGGCACTTGTAGTGTCGCGCCGGACACCATGAAGGTGTCACCGATCCGGTCCCATTCGTTGTCACTTGTCAGTCCCGGTCCAAATGCCGCTGGTTCCGCTCAAGGCCGTGCGCAGTACAATATGCGGCGTTTCTGGGAATTGCGACGACTTTAGCGATATTGAACGATTAGATTATGTTGTTCCAGCTTCCATAAACCTGGTAAACCGGTTTGTGTTAATGTGGTGCCACAAACAATAATATAGAAGGAGCTTACATTAATGCATTATCGGGTGGAAACAGACCTCGACTCAGACGGCAATTGACTGAGCAAACCTTGACCAACGCTTGGTTGTGGGTCAACATCGTTGCTAGAATGTCGCAAGCTACGTGGATTTGGACTTCTTGCTTTGGTTACAAGCTTGCCTCACAACTTGCATTAAAGCCATACGAGGCTTTGCTCACACCAGTTGTACCGGCACGTCGATTGTTGAATGTTGAATGTTGATGGTCCGGCCGGGGCACCGGAGCGCCGAAACTGAAGCGTGAACGGTGGCCTGAGACAGGAGCGATCTAATAAGACTTGTCAGAGCCAGAAGGGTGATAGGAATCGGCCGAGGGGAGAGACATTGGTCCGGGTGGCCACCCCGGTGAGCCGCCGGGACTGATCCCACCACGATGTCATATCCACTGTTCAGACCATCCAGCCACGATCAGGCCACCTCACCGCACGTAAAGCCCCGGTCCCACTAGGCGATGCGACCACTTACGACCGCCCACGATCGGTGGTCGGCAAAAGGTTGTCGCAATTCTTCAAGAGCTCGTACGATTGGATGTTGATATGAACGACTTGTCTTCAGACGTCGCGAGGTCATTTTGGTCGCCAAGAGGTTTTTGATGATGCACTAAAAACCTCCTGGCGACCGATTTGGTCGCAACGAGTTCGCGAGAAACCGCAACAAGTATTTCATTGTTCGCTAGTAGGAGGGCGATTATCGCACGACAGGTTTCGGTGGTCGCGGGCCTAGTCGGGAGCGGTCGGCGGTCGTATGCAAGTCGCCGATAATCGCACGACATTCTTCCCAACATCAGCAACCAGTCGCGAGACCACCAAGGTTCGATTGCCGAGCAATCGCACGATGGTGGCCGATTGCACGGCACTAGTCGGAAATTAGTCGGCGACTGTGGTACGGACATCTCAGATCTCATACCGACCCTTATCACACGGTCGCGAACATATGTAGTGCTCTCACTTTGAGATCAGCCGTAGACGATGAAGGGGATGCGTAAAAAATCGTCCATTTTCAGTAGATTTTCAAATAAAAACAGCGCAATAAGAAATAAGAAATGGTGCACCGCCTACTATATAGTGCCTCTCACGAGTCGGAGGTGGGATCCGACCCAAAAATACCGACCATTCCAGGCGGCCCAGCTCCAGAACACGAGGGACACGACACGGAACGTGACCGAGAAAAAGAAAATTGCTGAGCAGTTGACTCTGGAAAAGAACGAGATCTTAACCATCACCGGACATATTAGTTTTCTTCTACGCGCCGGCGAAGGGGGGGGGGCGGGTACGACCCCCTCCCCGTTTCGCCTCTGATGGAGCTAGCGCGTCTCAGGAAAAACAAGCGTGTGCGCCGTTACGAGATACAGTTATTGACACCCGATTATAAGGTCTTAGGTCAACCGGTGACATCTTACGTCAGGTCAAGTGCCAAAGTTATGGGTTCAGTTTTTGATGAATAACTTGGCTAAAAGAGGCGGCAAAGCCGCGATTTTGACATCATCGTGTTCGCCTTGTTGAGACTTGTCGAATGATATACTTGTTGTTGGGGTTGAACTCAGGTCACGGTCAGGCCAGGGCTTACAGGTCACGAAGCTTGTCGAATGAGGTCATGTCGCATATCTTTTAATTTGGCAGGTCTTTTAAGTCCATTGGTGACTCTCCCGACTCGCTAGTTCAATTGGATCGGGAGTTATTGACGAAAAACTAATATGACCCTAGTGACGTCATTAACAATGCAAAAGTGACGCATCAAACTTGCAAAGAGTGCATGAAATCACGATTCGATATGCTTGGGGTTGGGATAGCTTAAGATCTTTCCCAGCGTCAAAATAGCAGTTTTTATTTTCCCCCATTGACTTGAAATGGTGAGGTCACGTAACCGACCTTTCGTCATGTGACCTTTAGGAAAAATCTGAGATGTACAAGTTGTGAGACCTCTACTACGTCCTGTAAGTTTAATCTCCTTGTGAAAGCTCCTCTGGCACTGAGAGCGTTGCGAAGTTGCGACCTCTGAAGATCGTGCAGAGGTTCACTTCTGACGCCATAGGTCAATGACCTGACCTGACCCGAAAATGCGGCTGGTGTCAAAATATAGCCTGCCGATTTTCAAAATTCGAATGGCATTCGATTCCCTCAACGTGATCTACATTTTGAAGAAAGGAAGTCCAAAAAACGCAAAAAGGTAGGAGGGGGATAGAAACTACACATTTCAGATGCTTTTTCAACTCCTCACCATGGCCATGTTTTTCAACCAATTTTGACGCAACTACTGCCGATCTATGCAGGATGAATCAGAATTTGACATGTATTACAAAAATAAGCATTTCGAAAATTAATAGCCGAATTCCTACAGGTTATGAAATTTGGAGGCACATGAAATCCATAATCAATCGGATGTTTTGTTGGTGCTGTCACCAAAACGGGCTGGCAAATTAATAATCTCATTATGATACAAAAACGTGTGATAAAATGCCTAAATTAGATAATTCATATTCATAGGCGGCATCAGGGCATCGAAGGTGGAAGGTGACATATACCTTCTCTCCTTTTCCCTGGAACCGCCTACGATCCGTTTCTTGTTCACTTCTAAAGCTGTTATACCTACAAATAATGTTGATATACCTACATAATGAATAATTACAGTTATAATGCATCAGCATCGTGATCTTTAACTAAATGACTCGCTTCACGAATAGGACCTCCCGATTCCCCATGCCCTGGAACCGCCCCTGATAAAGATATCAGCTTAAAATTTTCAGGAAAAGTGCCCAGCTTAGTTTTAAGAAAAGTCAGAAAATTTCGGCATCCTAGCTCCAGTCGTTTTGAAGATATTTCCGAAAAGCCTCAGGGATGGATGTAAACAGCCCCCCCCCCCTTTGCCACTAATATGGTTAGCGGTATATCCGCTCTTTCCCAATCGTGCGGCAATCGGCGATAGGTCTTGAACAGATCTTCAGTCGTCAGCGGCCAGTCGTTACCTATCGCATGACGTACTCACGGCTGTCACCGAGTTTCGCACGTCATTCGTGCGACTCATGCCCCAATTTTTTCTTGGTTCGGCAAACTTCGTACGATGGTCTGCCACCGCTTGTGCGATTAGTCGTACGATGATTGCCGACCCTTTATATATGTGACCGTAATTGCGATGGATCTGCAGCATTCGGTGATGGTCGGCGGTGGTCGGCAATGATTTGGGTCGTAGGCGGTCGTAAGTGGTCGCAACGCCTAGTGGGACCGGACCTTAAACATTCCTATCAGATTCACTAAAGGACATGATGTGGAGTTTGCTAATGTAATAATTGAATGAGGACTTTACTCCATAAGAAATCGTTCGGGTCGGAGCTTTCGAATTGTATTACAAAGCTTCGTCAGCGTATCGTAATCGGGTTCGGGGGTATCGGTCGCAATTTTGCGACCGATACCCCCGAACCCGATTACGATACGCTGACGAAGCTTTGTAATACAATTCGAAAGCTCCGACCCGAACGATTTCTTGTGGAGTAAAGTCCTCATTCAATTATTACATTCCTATCAGAATTAAATCACGTCTGATGAAGGCGACCGTATAACCCTGATCAGGGGGTCTGAGGCATGAAGGATTTGTGTCCTGAGAGTGGAATAGAGGGAACGATTTTGAACTTTCTGTCCTTTTACTTTTGTAATGAAATAACGTTTTTTCGTTGAATATCATCTCTTCGGGAACTCAGTCATTTCAATGACAAGTTGAAGTGGCTGATACAATTCGTCACCTCACTGGGACTTCCACGTCCCTTTGATCAAGCCAACAAGAAAGCACACAAGACGAGAGGTGTACAAAGTCTAATTACAGCGATCGCAGTCGACATCAAGCACAACAGTGCGCGGATCAAGGGGAACATACCTTCTGCGGGAAAACGAAAGGAAATTTAGGACCAGATCACTGCACACGACACTACGGCATGCGACTCTTTCTTCAGACACCTGCAGATCTCCGTCAGTCCAATGTGCATGCAATGCAGCGGATCGGGAGAGTCAACGACACTTACACAAATATCAGTTCACGCAGAAACATAAATACACAAATACACACAAACGGCATCCAAAACGTTCGAATTTTCACCCGGGATTGTCATCGCCGAGACTGTACCGTGTTGTCTAAGTCCTGCTCCTCGCGTGTTGCGCTGTTTTACGGGCACGGTACCGCTCGGCTTCTGCTTCGGCACGGGCGGTGTTAAGCCACCGGAGGCGCAGGTGGAGTCGCGTGCTGGCGAGCTTTCGTGCGACTCGCTCGTCCAGCTCCGGTGCCTTGGCCAGCACACAGGCGATTAGTCGCTGGACGATCCCCGGCGCTACGTCAGCAGTCGAGCCCATCACATCACGGAACCTGGTGTTGAAGTCCTCGACCACCTCCATCTACCACTCACTGAGAACGTAGAGGTTTCCGCGGCTAATTGTCTGCAGCCACCGGCTCGGCACGAACGCTGACGCCGGAGAGCAGGAGCTTGGCTGACCCAGACCGCTGCACAGGTGGCGGCGCTTGGAGGCCACGTAGCCTGCCACAAAGGCAAGCGCCTCGCGGTCGACCCCCAGTTCGTCCGTCACCGGCGCGGCGGCGGCCGCTCCCTCCGCAGCCGGCAGAGGGTCGTCGTCATCGCCGGTGGCGGGCGGTAGCGGCGGCTGGTCCATGGCGGACTGATAGGGCAGCCTCCCAGTTCTCTCGCTGCTCGGAGGCCTCGGCGTCCGCTGGGTCAATGAGCTGAAAGAAGATAGCAAAGTGTGTTACTTAATTTGGATTTAGGGGAAGGTGGGGTAAGACGGACCAGCTAAGGTTTGAGGCCGCATATCTTGCTACACTGCTCTCGTAATTCATATTATCTATAGTCTTCGGAATGCTCAATCCTTCCTCTGTTGATATGTGTAAAGACTAAATTTCAAATTAAAGACATCTAGGTGGTGGATGCTCTTAAAGAGAGACATGTCAAAAACTCAGACAAGAAAAAACGTGGGGTAAGACGGACCACCCAGCAGTGCCTGCTATCCGTTCATGTGTGTTACACTTCTGCTCTGTACTCTTGTAAGAAAAGTAACCAGAATGGTAAAACAACAAAATGAGCCTTTATTCTTTACTCATGTGTGATGGAAGTGCAGCTAAAAGCTGGGAACATGTGTGTTGATTGTCGTTTGGCATGAATGCATGCTAACTGAGCACTTGCATGCATAGCTCACATGCAACAAAGACTCCTTCCTGAAAAATTAGCTTACTTAAACTTGTGTCAATGTTTTGGAAAAGAACTTTCCATATGCAGGGTACAATGGACCACCACAGGGTAAGATAGACCACAGTGGTCCGTCTTGCCCCAAATCTAAATTCTGTCATTATCATGACATATATGTCAAATAGCCCAACATTGCAAAACCTTGCCTTTCCTAAAGTGTGACTATAACTAAGTTTAAAACTTTGTTCTTCACAGTTAAGTGCAAAATAGAAACTAATCATGCAAGAAAGGCGCCGTAATTGAATCACCCGTAGACCTCTTATATTAGATCGGTTTGACGAAAAACAACATTTTTCTCAATAACTCAAAAGCTATGCATCCTAGCAGCATGAGCTCAAGGTGGCCATTGTTACGAAGGAAAACAAACATAGTGAGTGCATAAAGCAGTAGATACCAGCAGCGGTTCAGCCGGGAGTGCTGGTGGTCCGTCTTGCCCCGCTGGGCCGTCTTACCCCACCTTCCCCTATTTCCGATGGAGTCTTGAATTTGCATGCGTGAGGCTTGAATAAGGATCACGCATGATTTATATTCGTCCTGGACGTAGATGAAGGGGGAGGGGGGGGGGGTGATTGTAAGAAAATGTTTTATAGTGCAATTGATACGATAAGTCAATCTTGGGCTACATACTTGTATCAAACGTAATAAGCACCTGGGAAAGCAAATGCAAGGTCAGAAATGAGTTAGGAATTACTAGCATGCGATATTGCGGCTACGCAAAACCACACACACACAAAAAGACAACATGCCCAGAGCTTTTTATGAAATAAGCCTTTCAAATGTGTCTGCCGGCCACTCACTACCTTGAATTTTCCATTTGTCTTAGCAATGCTTCGTCTCCCGTTAGCTCGTAACATGATTATAACATATGTAGTAGGGATGTTAAGCCTCGAGTGAAACAACAAGAAGCCTTTAATAATTTATAGAAGCCAATAAATTTACCTCCTACGAAAGACGAAATAAACTATTCTTCAGCTATGTACAGGTCTCGCGAGATTAAGCGGTAGGTTTTGCACTTTTACATTTCCGGTTATACGTGGTGCACTCCAGAAGTTTTGAGACTTTTTCAGTAGAGACAGTTGCCTGTTTCAGAGGAGCATGAAACTTGTGTGACTCTCGAAATGGAACCTCCCGAGTCTAATGCACCTGCTTTAGCGCTCCTGTCACTGCCTGAAGGCCTGCTGATAGACCTTCAAAGTGAAGGTGCCCAGGGCCTCTGTCACAGCCTCACTCATCTCCTCCACATCCTACGAAAGACGGCCTCTGAGCTTCCCTGTCAGTCTGGGGAACATCCAGAAGCCACGGGGGCCAGATCAGGACTGTGGGAATGGTTACGGACGGTTTTGACGCACATCTGTGTCAGATAGTTCGTCTCCATGGTGAACTTGTGGGTGTGTGCGCTACCCTGGTGCAGGAGCCCCTGGTCACAGTTGAAAGAGTTTCGACCTCTTGCGGCGAAATATCTTTCTCAACTCCCTAAGACCCTTCACGAATCATTCCTTGTTGACCATCTGGCCGTAGGGGACCCAGGTTATGAAGTTTTTGCCTTTTTGTTCTAAGTAAGGGATTAATTTGAGCTTCCCAGTGGACCTGCGCTGTCTGTCATCATTGGGTCTGAAGGAGTCAGTGTGTTCTCATTGGACCTTCTGTCTCTTGGTCTCCTGATGTTAAAAATACATCCAGCTTTCGTCTCAAGTCACTTGAGAGTCAATTTGCTATGTTTCTCGGGCATTTTTGCCAAGCTAATCCCAAAATTTTATTGCACAGCGACCCTCCAAGTTCTCTTCACTAAACAACCTGACTGTGCTCTACACTGGTCACTGTGACAAGCCGCGTGCGACTTGCCATGTTCAGGGTGACACCGTTGCCGTCTTTTGCAACATAGAAAAACAAAATTACGCAAGTATGTTTATAACAACTGTGGTAAGGGCTTGTGAGAACAACAAGTATCTAGCACTGTTCATATGAATTTTACGAGGCCAGTCTCAAAACTTCTGGAGTGGACGACGTATCTCAGAAACTAATCGATCTACGATGAAGCCATTTTACACGATCATGGCCGGCTTGTTACCCAACAAGTCGATCGCATCTTCAACACTTAAAAGCTTAAGACGTCGAAGATATAGCATGAAGTAGGTACACTAAATTTTCTAGGTGCAAAACCTACCGTTAAAACCCGCGATACATACCTCTACGTCCAGACCTTCATAGGCGGCGTTTGTGACGTTGTTGGGCGTCAGCGGCTGAGCACAGGTGCTGAGGAAGTCTGTATCTCCCTCCACCTGCACTGGGAGACTCCGGCTCTGCACAGCGGCCAGCGGCGACGGCGCCATCAGCATAATCCTCAGACGTATGCGGGCCTCCACCGCGTCTGGGGTGGTGTTCCGACCGCACATGCCTCGGAGCTGGGAGAACGCGTTCTCGACGCAATCTTGATTAACATGAGAGGTCATGATGTATCCCAGCCCGGGGCACGCGGTTTGCGCGTCCAGGTAGAGGCCGCGCAGGGATGCGTTCGTGCGGAGGACGCCGTGCTGAAACGGCAGGAGGGTAGCTCGGCCAAGAGGCTGCTTGGACGTCGCCTTGCGCGCCCCGCGCACGAGCTCATCCATGGCCGCCAGGGCCTGGTCTTGGCGTGCCTTGATCTCGGCGGTGATCCCGTAGCCGCAGCGCTCTTTCTTCTGATCGTACGGCGAGCGGCTATTGACGACGTCGAACCAGGCGTCAACAACTTTCACCGCTCGGGCCTGCACCGCTCGACGCGGTACGTATGTTTCCATCGCGCAGGCCACCGTGCTCGAGAACGTCCGAGTAGCGAGGTGGACCCGCTGGCTGACCTGCCCCTTCGCCTGAAACAATGAGACAATTGGATAGTCAGCAGGACATCCTCAGTTGGCTACCAACCTAGTCTCATTCTTAATATGTCTTTGTGCAACACTGTTACCAACATACACTTTTGCGCCTGCGACAGACAGACAGACAGACAGACAGACAGACAGACAGACAGACAGACAGACAGACAGACAGACAGACAGACAGACAGACAGACAGACAGACAGACAGGCAGACAGGCAGGCAGGCAGGCAGGCAGGCAGGCAGGCAGGCAGGCAGGCAGGCAGGCAGGCAGGCAGGCAGACAGGCAGACAGGCAGACAGGCAGACAGGCAGACAGGCAGACAGGCAGACAGGCAGACAGGCAGACAGGCAGACAGGCAGACAGGCAGACAGGCAGACAGGCAGACAGGCAGGCAGACAGGCAGGCAGACAGGCAGGCAGACAGGCAGGCAGACAGGCAGGCAGACATGAGGCAGACAGGCAGGCAGACAGGCAGGCAGACAGGCAGGCAGACAGGCAGGCAGACAGGCAGGCAGACAGGCAGGCAGACAGGCAGGCAGACAGGCAGGCAGACAGGCAGGCAGACAGGCAGGCAGACGGCAGGCAGACAGGCAGGCAGACAGGCAGCAGACAGGCAGGCAGACAGGCAGGCAGACAGGCAGGCAGACAGGCAGGCAGACAGGCAGGCAGACAGGCAGGCAGACAGGCAGGCAGACAGGCAGGCAGACAGGCAGGCAGACAGGCAGGCAGACAGGCAGGCAGACAGGCAGGCAGACAGGCAGGCAGACAGGCAGGGCAGACAGGCAAGGCAGACAGGCAGGCAGACAGGCCAGGCAGACAGGCAGGCAGACAGGCAGGCAGACAGGCAGGCAGACAGGCAGGCACAGGCAGGCAGACAGGCAGGCAGACAGGCAGGCGACAGGCAGGCAGACAGGCA